TGGGTGGGAGGGAGGAAGTAGGCAAGAAAAGACCGCCTTAGAGCATGAGCAGAGCGCCGGGCTCCTGCCACGGACCGCAGCCAGCCCGGGCAAAGTTCGAAGGGCCGGCTTGCATAAAGTGCTCGGGGGGGGATGGTTCAAGGGCTCGGAGCGGGGAAGGGGGCAGGAAGGCCCTTTCCAGGCACCCCGAAATCGGGAGGGGGGTCTCTCAGGGGGGACCCCGGGGGTGTGGAGGAGAAGCCCCCCCGCGCCCCTTCCCTTCTGCGCAGGAGCTGCGCCAAGGGGGGCCCGCCGGGTGGCCAACCCCGCCAGGACGATGGTCCCAGAGGGAGAGCGAGAGAGCAAGGTTACTCTGTGGCAACCACAAGTTAAGCCCTAATAAAAACAAAAATAATATCAAAGCCCCTTAAAGCAAATAAAATTGTTTCAGGAAGAGCTTTCGTTGGTTGCAGCCCACTTCTTGCAACATTGTTTTTTTCTTCTTCTTAAAAGGCACTGTCGATCTTGTTTTTTTATTCATTTCTTTCTTCCTTTTTTAAAAAATCCTGTTTTCCTCCTTTCCTGGGGGCCCAAGGGGGCACTCAAAGAAAGAAAGAAAGAAAATCAAGGCTTAACCTAAAAGAGATGGATTAAAATTTAAAACTGTAATTGCACGGATTAGAAATATTATTCTGAAACTGTAAATGTTAAGAGGCCTGTTTTATAACCGAAGCTCTTTGTGCGCCTTGTGGACTAGCCTCTTGATTTTCCTTTTGGAGGTGTGGGATGTCCTGCTGGCGAAGCAGAGGCGGGGTTCCTCCTTGGGCCTAAGATTAAAAGATTTCTCCTCCTCCTCCTGGGTCTTCCTTTGGGAAATGGATGCTGCCGTGAATCTCACCCTTGACTCCTCACTTTCTGCCTGGTGCTTCTGGAAGGGAAGGGTTGAGATCCAAACAACGAGTGAGTTCCTCCTTCATGCGAGGGCTTTGTCAGTGCTCGCCGGCAGCGACCCCGTAGGTGCGTCACCGTCTGACGAGCAATGGTAAGTCAGATGTGTTTCTCCTGGGCTGCTCATCTTTGTTCTGTTAGAAATAGCTTCCTTTTAGGTTACTTGGGCTGCCTGAAGAAGCGTTCTGTGTCACCCAGAAGCTTACATAGCACGTTTGAGGGCCACCTGCAACAAAATTCTTGCAGAGCAAAGTGCTCCTATTCCAGCCAGCTGCTCATTTACCCTTCAGGTGTTTCTTTTCATGTTCAGCTCAAACCTCTCCCTTCCTGTAACTTTTGTTCTAGTCCTGCCCTCTGGGTAGAAGACCATAAACCCCTGCCCTTTTGGCCCCTTCACACGCAATACGCTAGTTTCCAAACATCCGCTGCTGTTTGTTGGTTTTTTTTAATTGTTTAATTTGAATTATGTAAGGAGAAGAAAGCCTGGTGAGTCAGGACTAGCAAAGAACAAGCTATGATTTCCTTTGGTGTCAGGCCTATTAAAAAAAAAAAAATACACACCGCAGCCTTGCACCAGAAGCCAGGAAGTGACTTCACGGTTTTCAGAAAGGGTGTAGGCATCCTTCAGTCTTGAGAGACTATAGTAATGTGCTCTGTATGGAGGACTTGGAACAGCATCAAGTGAGGCCGTGGAGGCCAATTTGAGAGTGACCGTCCCTTCCACGCGGAAGACAAATACCATCTGTCCCCTGTCCAGCTCCCTGATTTGGCTGCTTTCGGGATTCCGAACACAAACAGGGCTTAACCAGCGGCCTTCCTCCCAACCCTTTCCGTGCAAAGGCTGGACTCCGGAGGCTTTCTGCAGTCCGGAGAGAGAGAGAGGCCCCGCTCTTGCGGGTAAGTGTGGAACACCATCCTCCTCTTGAGTAGTGCCTGTGGCTCCAGGCAAACTGCGCCAGCTGCCTTCCCCGAGGCAGCTAAAAATAACACTGGCAGAGGGACGGCTGGCGTGTTCTTTCTAGAGCTGCTTGGCTCGTTCTGCGCCAAAAAGACCTCACGGCGGACCCTAGGGGTGGGAGGGAGTTCCTGGTGTGGGGAAGCTGTGTTTTGAGATGCTCGCCCTGGGGGGGGGGGAAGCCACCAAGAGAAATTTCTCCCACGTTCTGGGGAAGCAGGCGTTCTGCACATTCACACCGCACTCCGTCCATCCGCGCCCTGCTAACGCTGACCGGCCGCCATCCACCTTTAGGGTGTCAGATGGCAATCTGTTCCAGTCTCATTGAGAGATCTTGGGGGTCATTTTACAGACAGTTTTTTTTACCACAAAGCTCCAGGTGGCCACTCCAATCGGAGAGTTTCCTCCCTCTCGTTCCTTGCCATGGCTGACCACAACTTCCTGTGACATCCAGAAGCTTGCACCCTTGAGGGGGCTTCCCCCCAGCAATTATTATTTTGCCACCAATCTCCAGGTGGCCACTCCAATCAGAAAGTTTCCTCCCTCTTGTTCCTTGCCATGGCTGACCACAACTTCCTGTGACATCCAGAAGCTTGCACCCTTGAGGGGGCTTCCCCCCACCCCACCCTTGCCCTGATCAGCAGAAAAGCGTGATACTCATAGAAAAAGCTTCCTTGCTTTCTCAGATTGTCCTGATCGGCAAAGCTCGATGCAGGAGATTGAAAATTAAAAAGGAAAGTTTAACACTTCACCTGTGCTTGTTTCAGACAAAGCCCGGTCAGATCTTCCATTCAACAATATCACATCTGAGGTCTCATTTGGAAGGGGGCTCGGTGGAGATTGGATTGGAGTGAAAAGGAGGATTTCCACCTTTACACTCAGAAATGGAAACAGTGGCTTTCCATTTCATGGAGAGAAGGAAATGCCTCTTGAACAGCACATCCCAGGAAAAAAAATTCAGCAGGAGATATTTAGGCAGATCTCCCACAGCAAATGAAATGATTAATTACTGAATTAACTTAAAATGTTTACCTTGCCCACCCTCGCCCTGATCAGGAGATCTTTCATGGAAAGAAGGAAATGCCTCTTGAACAGCATGTCCCAGGGAAAAAAAAATTCAGCAGGGGATATTTAGACAGATCTCCCACAACAAATGAAATGATTAATCACTGAATTAACTTAAAATGTTTACCTTGCCCATCTAGTGCCCAGGCCATTGTTACGGGCAGCTTACAGCATCACACCATAGACATAAATAAAATTCAGTCATAAAATTTGATAATCAGTATCAAAATTAAAACAGTGAATAAGAGTCAACCAACCCCATAGTAACTGTGTAGGCCTCCTTCAGTCTCGAGAGACTATGGTCACGTGCTCTGTATGGAGGACTTGGAACAGCATCTAGTGTGGCTGAGAAGGCCAATTCGAGAGTGACAGTCCCTTCCACACTGAAAACAAATACAATCTGTCCCCTGTCCAGCTCCCTGATATTGCTGGTTTCGGGGCTGCCTCTTTGCCTCGGCCTGCTGGACAAGGGTTAATGGCGGTTTTTAGGTGCACGCTCCCTTTTCAGATGGCCGGCATGTGGATATGGATGTAGGAGTGACCATGTTTCCTCTAGAAGTCTGCAGACTTGTGCTTTTTGGACCACAGCTCTTGGTGTGGCCTGGAGGGCGCCGGGAGATGTAGTCCCGAAAGCCCAAATCAGCCTGTCTCCGTTTTTCCCTGAGAGCAGCTGAGAAATTTAATCCAAGTGAAACTGGAATTTGTGAACTTTGTCCTTAAATGGCGGTTTTTAGGTGCACGTTCCCTTTTCAGATGGCTGGCATGTGGATATGGATGTAGGAGTGATCATGTTTCCTCTAGAAGTCTGCAGACTTGTGCTTTTTGGACCACAGCTCTTGGTGTGGCCTGGAGGGCGCCGGGAGATGTAGTCCCGAAAGCCCAAATCAGCCTGTCTCCGTTTTTCCCTGAGAGCAGCTGAGAAATTTAATCCAAGTGAAACTGGAATTTTTGAACTTTGTCCTTAACCTTTGATCTTGGATGTAACATTTTAATTTTATGATGTTTCACCCGTTCCCCCCCCCCTCCAGTGTGAAAATCTACGCTTCGACTTTACCAAGAGCTGCTCGGAAAGCATGCCTGCACTAGGCTCAGGGGCTTGGGAATATGTTCCCGAAGAGATTTTGGGCCACATATTTTATTATTTGCCTCTTCGAGACAGGCACGCCGTGTTCCAGGTGTGCAAGCATTGGGCAGCGGCTGTTACCTCCAGTTCTGTCTGGGCCTTTACAGAAGTCAGGTAACGAGACCAGCTATGCCTCCTGCAAATTTGTCTTGACTGCTGCAGAGCTACCTTTAACCAAATGCTAACAACTTCAGGTTGGCCTTTTCCTCTGCTTTCTCTGCTGATTCCTGTTACAGTGGTGCCCAGCTTAACGATTGCCCTGCATTACAACAAATTGGCTTTACAACAGTGTTTTTGCAATTGCAATTGCAATCACAAAATGATGATCTAAATGGTTTTTTTTACTTTGCAAAGATTGGTTCTCTGGTTCGGGAACCGATTCTTCGCATTACGACGATCAAAACAGCTGATTGTCGGGTTTTCAAAATGGCCGCTGGGTCCTCACAATGGCTCCCCGCTGTGTTTAGGAGCCATTTTTGGCAAGACAAGTACCCGAAAATAGCTGCCCCTATGGAGAATCTTCGCTGGAGAGTGAGTTTTTAGCCCATTGGAACGCATTAACTGGGTTTCAATGCGTTTCAATGGGTTTTTTATTTTCGCTTTATGACATTTTCGCTCTACAGCGATTTCACTGGAACGAATTAACATCGTTAAGCAAGGCACCACTGTACTGAGAATTTACCCAGGAAAACCTGACTTCCTGGATGGGACTTCACAGCAGGTCATTTCATGTTCTTTCCTGTTGCACAATTGCACCTTCGACTGTATGTTTGGATTGGCTGCTCCAGCTATTTATGGGTCATTGTGTGCCGTTGTGAGTTGACTCCCCTGTCGTGACCTCCATTTGCACCTGGCTCTGATCCGTGGAAGGGCAGGCTCTAATTAAAGAAAACAAAGCAGATCCAACAAGGCTGAGGTCCACCTGGCTGTAGAGTTCATTCTTAAGCTGTTGCTCAGCGCTGTTGTGATCTCTCCTTTCCCTGTGGTCTTTCAGGTGTGACAAAGCTGACGACGGAGGCACCTTGCAGAGTTTGCACCACTTCCTGCGCCACATCAAGCACCTGAAGATTGTGTTTGACCAGTCCGAGGAAGCCACCCGGAAGAACGTCACCTGCATTTTAGAGATGCTGGCCCGGGAGAGCCACCGATTGCAGGCGCTGAGCATCGAGTGCCGAGGAGAGAACCCGTATTTCTATTCCGGCCAAGATATTTTGCAAAGCATCCAGAAAGTTTGCCAAAGCGAGAAGAAAGCTGACCTTCTCCACATCGATTTCCGGAAAATGCCCTTCACCCTGGACGACGGGATGGTGCGCCTCATGGCGTCCAGCAGCCCAAATCTGCACACCTTGTTCATCAACAACCGCACCCTAGTTTGCAACGTCACGCCAGAGATGATGGTCGAGGTGCTGAGGGCTTGCCCTAGGCTCTCAACCTTGGGCGTCTATTACGCCAGCCTCTCTGAGGAAGTCTTCCGGGAGCTCCTGAAGCCCAACCGAACACCTTTCAAGTGTCTGGACATTTTCTGTGAGCGCCTGGACAAATATATTCCTGTGATCCCCGAAGAGCTATGGGCTGCCGTGAGTGAGAAGCACCCACAGCTCCGTGTGGAACTGGAGTTTGACCACACGGTCCCGGCCTGGAAGATCCCTCGGATCTTAAAGCCCAAGATCCCCGTGACAACATTGCAACTAAACACTTACACGTACATGGTTAACCAGATCAGGTTTGTCACCAGCAGCTACAGCAGGACTTTGGAGAGGTTGGTCCTCCACACCACTTCCTCTGAGGACCTCAACTCTTCCCTGATCGACCTGGCCAAAGCATGTGTCGGGTTGAAAGAGATTCATTGTTATTGTGTGGTCGGTCAAACTGTGATCGATGCCTTCCTCGCCCACTGTAAGGGACTGAAACGGTACACGCTAAAGACCACCAAAGAACGCAGTCCTTGGCAAGCAACGATGGTCCAGTAATTTTGAAGTTTGACCCAAGAGTGTGTTATTTGTTCACGACTGTCGTGGTTGGGTCCACCAATTGAAGGTCAAAATAGACATGGAAGGAAATGCAAGTCCCCTGAGATTAATCTGTTTTTACATCCCAAAAAGAGACTTCCTAATAAATACGTGCCTCAACAATCAGACTTGTCAATTAAGCCTGTGTTTATCTTCCAGGGAACGATCACAAAAGAAAGCATGCTAAACGCAAGATATGTGGGTGAAGAAAATCACACACACTGTGACAAACAGATGTCTTCTACCAGTTGAGGGAGTATCTCTTCTACGTATGCCATAAGCATGTGCCTGTTGTGCAGTTATGCAAATAGTGTAACTTTTGGAAGTGACTTGTCATAAATTAAGAAATCTCTATAGGCTTTAATCTGCTATGCGGCTTAGTCTGCAAGAGATAATGTCTACAGAGATTTCTTAACTTGTGGCGATTCACTTCTGAAAGTTACACTATTTGTATAACAAAAGATGCTCTGTATGTGTAACTGTGCAACGGGGTTTCATTATCTTTCTTACGTCAAGGATATGGGGATGGGAGGAGCAAATGGGGAATGAAGCCAAGCTTCATGGCAGTTGGCAAATAAGGATGTTTGCTTATCCATTCCTGTATCTTTATGGTTCATAACCTTGGAAGATTTTTTTCCTGACCAAAAACTGTAATGTTCTGAGAGCTGTAACCCAAATCCTCTTTTATACCATTTGAGCAGGTTAATTGGAGAAGTCTAAGTGAATGGGGAGGTCAGCCAGACCGGTGGGGGTGGGAATTGGATAACAACCTCGGTACGGCTCAGTTTCTCCACCCCAGACCTAGAGTAGAGGCCAGTTGTGGGTGCTCCCAAGGGGCAGCACACAGCAAAAGCACCCTGACAGGTGGCTGTTCAAATCCTATGTGGAAGGCCCCCGTTATCCACATGATCGGTATCCGCTGATTCACTTATCCACGGTTTGAAAATATTAAGAATATTAAAAGAAAAATTCCCATAAATAAATATTTCTAACAATGAAGTTACCAGAACGGATCCCTAGAGGAAGCCAGAGGCCATGCTATCTGTAGCACTGACTATTATGTTTGTTATAATCCCTGTTTTTCAGCAGCTGTGGGAGGGGTTGGAACCAAAGGCCTGCAGATATGGGGTAGGGTGGGGTGGGGTCCTACTGTTTCCAACTCTCCAAAGGACAGGAGCTCAGAACCATGAGCCAGATTTGGACCCCATCCACATCTTTCGGGGGTCTGGGGATGTTGCAGAAGAACTTGAGTGTCCCCCAATCCAGAGGGGGTGCTTTGCCAGGTGTCCCAAAATCCTACCGAGGTCCCGCAGGGGTGCTTGCCCGGGTTCTTGGCTAAAAGTCAGTCTGACCATTATTTTTTTTGGGGGGGGGGAACTTCCACAGAAGAAATGAAGAGAAACCACATCACTGTGGCATCTTTTTACTAAATGAGGGCTTCTCACTTGCTGGGCTGAGGAGACCCGGCGAATGCGCATCATCTCCGAGTTTTTAAAACTCTGAAGTCCCGGTGTGATGTCGCTTGTTTCTTTACACGCTCCCCCCCCCACCCCGCCTCTCTTCTGGAATCGAAGCCGTTACAGCTGCTTAGGAAGACGTGGGGATGTGCTTCCATCCATCCATCCATCCATCCATCCATCCTTCCGCCCCGATCCTGACCATTCGCGCAAGGGGGGTGGGAACGGAGGACGGGGAGACTTTGCCCTCCTCCGGGACGGGAGGGGTTAAACCCACCCGCCCGTCCCCCCCCCGGCTCCGCGCCCGCGCAGCCCAACAGCGCGCGCCTTTCCGCGGATGGCTGATCGGGCGCAGGTGCGCTCCCGGCGCCACGTGCGGGCTCGGCTTCAAAAGGGCGATGGAAGCGCCTCGGGCGCGCGATCCCTGCCTGCGCGCGACCAGGAGCGCGCCTGCCTACGGAGGAGCAGCGCGGGCGGGAAGGAAAGAAGGAAGGAAGGACAATCTCCATCCCCATTATCAGAGCCCAGCGGAGGTGAGGGCAGGGCTATTTTTTAAAAGGTTTGGCCCCGCAATTCGTTTGCAAACTTTCCTTGCGTGCAGCCCTAAGAATTTCATCTGCCTTTCTTCCAGTTAAGCCACTCCAAGCAGCTGGCGGAACATTAAACATGATTTAGTTGTTTCTTTTTTCCAAGTTACTGTTTATTTAAAACATTTAAAAATCCATTTATTGATTACTTAAAAGGCAGGTTGCAGCGAAAAGCCGATCCATTGTGAGATGAGGACCTCCTCTTGTCACTGTATAAAATCCTGGAAACACACAAGAGGAAGAGGGGGCCACGGCAACCTTAAAGGCCTGGGCAGGAGGACCTCTGTATCCCCCAGGATCCCTTGTAGGGATGTGGGTGGACGAGGGCAGCCCCGAGGCTTTTAGGCAAGGGTGGCATTTTTGAAAGAGCAATGGCTTGCTCTTTAACTTTCTCTGTTTTTTGCTGCCAAGGGAGAGGGAGGTGCGCATGTGGTGGGTGGGGCCCTTTGCTAATGTTTAATTTCCTTCCCCCAAATGCCCTGGACCTTCTCATTAATCTTGCCTGCCTGTGGATTGTGTGTGTGTGGGGGGGTACGTCAAAAACTGCATAGCCACACGGGGGTGAATTTTGAGGCTCTTTCCCACCCTAATTCTTAAGAGGTGCAGTTTATTATTTATTTATTTTATTTTATTTATATCCCGCCTATCTGGTCAGTTAAGACCACTTTAGGTGGCTTACAACATAAAAAAATAAACAATAGGAATATACAGTATATAAAACAGTTTTTACATAGTGGAAGACATATTCAACAAGATGGGGTATTTATATCCCGCCTATCTGGTCAGTTAAGACCACTCTAGGCGGCTTACAACATAAAAATAAACAATAGGAATATATATAAAACAGTTTTTATATAGTGGAAGACATATTCAACAAGATGGGGGCAAACAATGGGGGGGGAGGAAAAAAGGGGGAGTTTCTCGCCCCTCCCCAACTGGTTTTTATATAACATATTGGTACCTATGCTTTTCACACGAGTTGCTGTGTGAATCGAGGCCCCAAACAGTCCTGGTTTCGGCAAGCTAGCTCTTTATTTTATTTTTGCAAAATAGAGATAAATAATTCCATGTGTTGAAAATGCAACAATAGGGAGGATTTAATTCTTTGCACGTCAACGACCACAAAGTGGCATCAATGGTTGCCTTCCTCGGGTCGGGTGGCGTCCCAAGGCCATTGCCTGCATTTTATGGCTGCAGTGGACTCTAGAACTGGGATTTTGAAGGCCCTTAAACAGAATACGGCCCTCATTCTCTATGCAGAGAAATATATTTAAATAATCTAGACTTGCTAGTATTTTAATATTTCATGGCCTTTAAAAATAAATAGTAATTGTAATTGCTGTGCATTACTTGGTTAAATAAAACCTCTAAGCAGTATACATTAACACAGACACCCTTAGGAGAACAATATAAGACTATTTCAATACAAATGAGTCATTGATCCAGTTATATTAACCAATTAAAATGAGACACAATCTGTCTGTCAAAGACCATGCGGAAGAAGCTATTCCAGGGGAGAGTGAGAGCCACCACTGAGAAACCCCACCCCATAATACAGCAGGATAAATATCTTTTGATTCACTTATCCACTGTTTGCAAATATTAAAAGAAAGATCCGAGAAATATATATTTCAAAAGATGAAGTTATCAGAACTGAACAGTAGAGGGAGCCAGAGACCATGTTATGGGTAGTGATCATTCTTAAAATAGAGTTTGCTCTAATCTGTGTTTACTTACCATGGCAAGATTTCCCTCCCAGATACAGTGGTGCCTCCCTAGACAGTTACCCTGCATGACAGTTTTTTCGCTAGACCTTGACTCTTTGTGATCGCCATAGCGATTCGCAAAACAGTGATTCCTATGGGGGAATTTCGCCGAACAATGTTTGGTCCCTGCTTCGCAAACCTATTTTCGCTAGACAACAATTTTGACAGCTCGCTCCGCGCTCGCAAACAGATGTTTTTGGGACCTAAGCTTCGCAAGACAGCGATTTAAACAGCTGATCGGCTGTTCGCAAAGCGGATTTCCTATGGCCGATCTTCGCTAGACGACGATTCTTCCCCATTGGAACGCATGAAACAGGTTTCAATGCATTCCAATGGGAAAATGCTTTTCACTAGACAATTATTTTGCTAAACAGCAATTTCAGTGGAACGGATTATCAACGTCTAGCAAGGCACCACTGTACGGGGGTCCTACTCTATTGCGCTTTGGCATCCTGTTGAGGGGCAGTTGCCATTGAGGATCTCTGTGGAGGACTGGGCATGTCACAGGGAAGGGAGGGTTGTCTCTCTGTATCAGAAGGCTTTATCCCCTTCAGAGGATCTCAGAGTGGCTTTCTAGACATGGTGAGAAAGAAACTGCACCCATTTCTGGCACGGGGTCAGAAATTATGTGTTGTCTGGGTGGATTATTCAGGGAGCGCAGACAGCCTTGTTCTGTAACAAGTGGCTTGAGACTTCATCATGTTAGCTGGGGATGCGTGGAACCAGCTGTTAAGATGCCAGGAGATGTATCCTGGAATGACTTTCCTTTGCAGTTCTACATCTGAGTAGGAGGAGAGGCTAGCCCTGAAAGATTTTTAACAAGGTAACATAAGAGAGTCAAACAATTGCCTCTACAGTGGTGCCTCGCTAGATGATGATAATCATTCCACTGAAATAGCTGTTTAGCGAAAATCATTGTCTAGCGAAAAGCATTTCCCCATTGGAATGCATTGAAACCTGTTTAATATGTTCCAATGGGGAAGAATTGTCGTTATCTAGCAAAGATCGGCCATAGGAAAGCCGCTTTGCGAACCGCCAATCAGCTGTTTAAATCACTGTCTTGCGACGCTTAGGTCCTGAAAACACCTGTTTGCAAGCGCGGAGGGAGCTGTCAAAATTGTTGTCTAGCGAAAATCAGTTTGCGAAGCAGGGACCAAACATTGTTCAGCAAAATTGCCCCATAGGAATCACTGTTTAGCGAATCACTATAGCGATGGCAAAAATCCAATATCTAGCGAAAAAACTGTCACGCAGGGTAACTGTCTAGCGAGGCACCGCTGTACTGCTAAAAAGCAATGGGGAGCTGGAGAAGCCGCACCTGATTTGCTGCAGGTCAGCAACCCACCCTTTGACCCTCGTTCACCTTCTACTTACCCCTGGCCTGAAGGTGCGGTGTCAGAGGCCGTGTATGGTCGTCTGCCAAGGGGGGCATTTCTAGAAGGGCCAGCAGGATTTAACCCATGGTTGAGGTACTAGTTGAGCTTTCTGGCACTTAAAAGACACTTACTGTACAAGGTTTTGTCTTAAGCTTTTGTGGGCTGCAGTTCCTCAGAATAAGACAGAAAGCCAATTATTTCTGTGAAAAATTGTGGTTTGTCACTGAAATTCAGCAGAAAACAGCCGAGCAAGCTGTTTAGTAAGCCTTGTCGTGTTGATTGGAAATGTTGCCAGTCTACATAGAAAAGGGAAACCTCTAATTGTTTTACAAACTTCCTTTGTCATTTAAACCGATCTGACAAGCCTTTGTTATTTAAACAAGCCGTTGCTGTCAACTGTTCAACAGGGTGCCCCAGGGAGGGTGATGAAATAATGGCCAATTGTAAAGGGAAAATCAGTCTTTTAAATAATAATTATATTATTATAAATGTATAGTGAATTATAATAAAACAATAATGCATTATTATATCATAATAATTATTTCAGTCTGTGGGTTTCTAAGATGGAAAATCATTTTAGTTTTAAGTAATGTTACTATAGCAAAATGCAAAATATGTATTACATTTTATAAAGTGCAATACAAAATATATAAATACACACGCACACTTGCACATATACATTCTATAAAATCTGATAAGAAAAAAAGTTTCACAAAGCTCTGCCCGTTTGTGTGACCCATCACGGCTTTGCCAAAAGATCGCAGCTCCCAGACTAGAGTAACTCAGGAGTTCTTGGACTACAATTCCCAGAAGCCGTCACCAAAAGCTGTGCTGGCTGGGCTTTCTGGGAGTTGTAGTCTAAGAGCACCTGGATTACCCAAGGTTGGGAACCACAACTATAATAGTTATATTTCAGATTTGTGTGAATGTGATCTAACCATGAGAAGCCCACTTGTCTTGGTATAATCTTTCCTTCCTGCTTTTCCATTCCTGGTTTTCCTTCCCTTCTTTCTCTGTCATCATCCTTCCCCTTCCCTCTTCTGGTTCATTTCCCCCCCCCCTCCTGCCTCCTTGAATCCCTATCTCTCTCCCTCCCCAAGAGGTCTGGAAAGAAGGTCTAATGTTAAACTATAGACGCAAGACTTTTGCAAGATGTATCCTCACTTCACGAATGATCACGGGCCAAGGTTTGGATATACTGACGGTCTTGCGTGTGGCTACCTGCCAGGATATTTGGCTTGTAACCAGTATGGCCCTGTAACCTCCCCCCAAAAATATTTAATTATTTCAAACCTGCCATGTGGGTACCGAGCCCTTGGGAATATTTTTCTCCTTAGGAACTTGGCCCCGGCCACCGTCTGTTCATTTCAGAGGCTGATCTTTTTTTCAGCGAGAAGCGTCTGCCCATGTGGTTTTGCAGCCGGTAGCCTCAGAGTGTGATGATGAGCTCCGACCTCCACCTTTGGAACTTTATGCCCGCAGAGGTTCTGGCCCATGTATTCTCCTTCCTTCCTGCAAGAGACAGATACAACATCTCCCGCGTGTGTAAGCACTGGGCTGCTGCCGTTTCTGCTAGTTCTGTCTGGAGCTTCACAGAAATCAAGTAAGTGGCATATTTTGTAGCTCATTGGGTGGTGCGGTGGAGTGGAGTGGGATCTTGTCCGTCCTTGGCCAGCAACTCACTTGGCTCTTAGGAATAGTTTGTTTGCTCTTATTTGCTAACAGTCCACTTCAGTGTGTCTTTTAATGCTCCTACTTTTGGAGTTTTTTATTAGGCTGGGAATAGCCTCTGATTTTTTAATCTGTGAGCATACTTATCACAATTCTTGCAGAGGTGCTCCTCCCAGTTGTAGAAATGATCTCTATGTCACAGCATGTGATTTTCCTCACCTGACTACCTTGCAATTAGCGTGCTTTGTTTTGTGATCACTGGAAGGTCAACACAGTGTTAATTTTGGATGGTCAAACCAGATGTTGAGGGGAATGGGAATCCTTTCTAGATGGGATCGGATAAAAGAATGGCTTATGAGCTGAATGTTTCAGCAGTCGGACTTGCAAGTATCAACCTTTGTCACATACCACTGGGAAAATCCCCTCTTGGAAGAAAAGGAATTGCCGTTGTAGGGAATAGACATTCCTCTTCATGCCTGGTTTGACTCTTTAAGTTGCTTTTCCTTGTCTTAATACAGTGCGTGAAAAAGTAACTACTTGAACTACAACTCCCAGAATCCCCAAGCCAACATGGCCAGTCAGTTGTAAGTCAGACTCATCGGTCCCCAGTGCTGGAACAAACAAATATGCAGGAGCGCTATTTTGGCATTCAGTAAAATGATATTTAATCAGATGGATGGGGTGGATTCACTGCCATGTTGGTGTCGCCCTTCTGCCCTGATGGGTGCTGCCCTCTTGATTTCTTTTCTGCCGGTCCTCTTTCAGCTGTGAGTCAGAGAAAGAAGAGGGCGAGGATGAGGGAGACACCGCTAGCTTCTTGCTGAAGTTGATCCAGGTGCATATGGGTCACATCAGGTACTTCAAGATTGTACTTGACATTTCCCTGGAGTTAAACCGGAGGCTGGCGTGCACCATCTTGGACGTGATGGCCTGGAGCGGCTGCAGGTTGCAAGCTTTTCACATCGTATGCTATGGGAAAAATCCTTTCTTCTATTCGGGCCAGGACGTCCTGCAGAGCTTCAGGCGGCTTTTGCAGACTCTGGACAAGATTCTCCTGCAGCACATGGATTTCCGCCAAATGCCTTTCGTGCTGGACAACCACACCGTGGGGCTGATGGGCAGCTGCGCTCCGAACCTACGCACCTTGCTGATCAACAACCACGCACCTGGCTTGCTGATGCTTCGGCAAGAGATAATTGTTGAGGTCCTCAGAGCTTGCCCCAAACTCTGCATCTTAGGCATTCCTTACGTTGCCCTCTCCCGGGACCTTTTCCGGGAACTGCTGAAACCCACCCGAGAACCCTTCAAGTTCCTGGACCTTTTCTACAATGGCTTAGACACTGACATTCCAGAGGAACTTTGGACAGCGATGAGAGAGAGACACCCTTCTTTTCGCGTAGGGCTGGAGTTTGCGGCCACGGTCCCCACGAGGAAGATGAGTCAGATCTTAAAGCCTTGCCTCCCCGTGGCTGCGTTGCGTTTCAACGGCTTCACCCACATGGCGGATCAAGTGCGGCTGGTCGCCAGCCTCTACGGCAGGACTTTAGAGAAATTGGTCCTCCATTCGGCCCCTTCGGACAACCTCAACGCCTCGCTGATCCAGCTGGCGAGGGCGTGTGTGCATCTGAGAGAGATCCACTGCTTCTGCCTGGTGGACCAAGGGGTGGTGGTTGCCTTCCGCCGCCACTGCAAAAATCTGAATAGATACACCCTTTCCACCTCGTTGTTCTTCTGTGATAATCCACCCACGATCGTCCAGTGACTGGATCAAAGCGAAACCTGGCACCACCGTTTAGGGACACACACAAAAAAAGAGTGAAGTAGTCTTAGAGCAGGAGGTGCAGGTAGAACCAACGCCTGGCGGGAGCAGCTGCTGTTTTAGAACGAAGGTATGAAATTTGTCTTAAGCGAGCAAGGCAGGGGAACCCTTGTGTGAACGATTAAACTTTAAATTCACCCTTTGGTGCAAACCTCTTATTCAGATTTGGCGTAAACCCATATATCTGATTTGGGTACTTTAAAAAAATTAATTTTTTTTAGCTGCAGGTTTTAATATTTGCCAGTCTTTTATAGTTATAGTTGTTTGAACATCAATGGTAATTTCACAGTCACAAATCACAATAAAGATGTGCATATATAATAAACTGATTTTACATCCTTGCCTAATGTTGTTCTGGGAATCTGCAAATCCTCCATGCCGCTTGGGGAGACGGAGAGTGGTTGTCTAAAAGTGTAACTTTACCAGGCTTCGCCTAGAGGAGGAGATCTTACTAGGGCTGAAACGTGCTTAGCAGATGTCATTTATTTTCATGTTGAGCTCTTGATAGGGAGACCTGCTCTACCAATACACAAAGGCTGCAGCCTGTGGTTTAAAACTGGGTCCCTGGTTCTTCTTTGAGAAAGCCAGAGCTTGGTTATCTGGAATCGGAACGGAAAGATGATAGTCAAAGGTTGCTCTTGTGAAGGATGCAGAAAGACCTTGACTTTCTCAAAAACGACTCTCTCTCGAGAAAGTCATGCTCGGAAGTTCACTGTTCTCTAGAACTGTTCAGTTCCACCCAGAGAGGGTTACTGTCTTCCCCAGTCCAGAGGCGCTCTCCTTCTAATGAGATCATCGCGGGCAGAAAATCTCTAGGTGCAGTTTAGGTACAAATAACCAACAAAGCAGTAGGCCTGCCATGCTCCTGGTGCTAGTAACAGATAAAAAAAAATGTGCATCATCTATGCTGTTCATTTGGATGTTGCTTGGCAGATTAAGTTGCACTAGAGTAGACCCCTTGTGTCGATGGGATTTGGTGCGTGAAGGGGGCATACTTTTAACTGGGACTTAGTTTAGCATTTGTATCAATGGGATGGATGGAGGAGGTGACTCACGAAATTCCCATTGACTCCAGTGTGATTGACGGTGTTAACTAAGCCATAGGACGTGGTGGGTGGGTTTGAAAATGGAGATTCTCTGTGCGTGCAAACGTGATGTGCAATATCAGGTAGGCCATGCTGCTTGCCTATAGTTAGAACATCTGTTTGTCTTGGTAGAGGTTAGCTCTGAAAGAATCTGGTTTTAAAGAGTGTTAGCTGGAAAAGCCATCGGAGAGAAGAAGTTTGGTCTGAGCATGTCCTGACACTGGTTGCTTTCTGACTTTCCCCTGCTTTGCATGTTAGCAGTGAAGCCATTGTCACGTGCTGAGCATTTTATTTGCTTCCATCAGTTCTAATCAATGGAATGTGTGTCGTGTTTCCTCTGGGCTAAGACACCTACAGGACTGGTGGTTGAAAGGTGATGCAGAAGTTGAAGAAGTTCAGTGAAAGACACCCCCCCCCAAGGGGTTGAAGGCGATGTGCTTCCAGGAAGCCACCTCCAGGTCCTACAGATGGGTGATGAATGAGCCGGTCCTCCTTTGGCTCTTTCCAGTGGTTTACTGACCTCCTGGCCTACAGTGTTTATGCAAGCAAGGGTATATTCTCTTTGCATGAGGCTGCATCTCTATTCAGGGCTTTGTGAGATCAAATGCGGTGTGCTTTTCATTCGGCGCTTTGTTCCCCCGTGGTTGGGCCATGCCCGCCCATTGTGCTGGGCTTGGCTGAAGTCCAGCGGTACTGCTGACTGAAGTGACTTGTTTTTTTGGGGGGGAGGCGCGAAGCAGGTGGGTGTTTCCTCAACTCTGCCTGGACCGCTGTATGGCTCTCTCCCCCTCCCTCATACGCACAGGGGAGAAAGGGCATTTTGTTTTGGCAAAGGTATGGCAGTAGAGTAGTTGGGACAGAGCAGAAACGATGCAGGATTCGCCCACTGCCCTGGCGATGGATGGCTACTCCAGTAACGTCCCCGCGTTTCTCACCAAGCTGTGGACGCTGGTAGAAGACCCCGAGACCAACCACCTTATCTGCTGGAGCATCGTGAGTAGAGGGAGAAGTTTGAATGAAGAAGGCCATGGAGTTGAAATCCAAGGCGCTGGGAGTGGGGACATGGGGAATCATTTGGGGGCAGGGTTGGGGGAATCCTGTTCTCGGTGGTTTCCCAGGTCTCACCGTGCAGAAGATTTCTCACTGAGACACGTCTCCCTTGCACCAGCATGTTTTATTGGCTTCCCCCCCCCAAAAAATGAGGTGGTGGTTCTGCGCTTTTTGATTTTCATTTTTGTGTGTGTTTGAAAGAAGCTTCCACATTCTGTGCCATGCCCCCTTTTCCCCAGGGATTCTCGTGCAAGGAAAAATACTGTTTTGTCAAAGGATTCCTTCCTTCCTTCCTTCCTTCCTTCCTTCCTTCCTTCCTTCCTTGTACAGAGCCATCTCACCTCGTCGCTCAAAACTGGGATTTGCTGTCTATTAAAACTTTGTGAGGAGATGGTTCAGGTTAAGGCTTGTGCATGTGTGCACACACCTTGCATGTTTAACGGGATAGCTTGACCTCAGAAATCTGGGCAGCCCTTCACATTAAAAAACAGGGCAAGGTCTCGCTCTGTTTTTCCAGGAGGTCATGTGGCTGGACCAGTGAGTTCAGATCCCAAGGAAGGGAGTCTGCATCTACATTAGGAAAATGGGTTTCGGAGTGCCAAGCTTCTTTCCGGATAGTAAAACAGATCCTCCTGACAGATGAAGGGTGGAGATTTGAATGGGAAGCTGGATGGGTAGCTGTCAAGAAGCCGGTGCTAGTAGATTTCTCGGCAAAGTGCTCTACTGGATGATGCTTCTAGCGCCCCGGCTGGAATCTAATTGAATAATTACATGGATGTAAGTCCACTGGCAGAGATTTCACCGCTAGATTGCTGCTAATTAAGAAGTCGATGTTTGTATTTCTTAACCTGTGTGCGAAAGGAAGTACAGTGCGACTGCCAGCTCCTGGTTTCCTAAGGAACAGCCATGCGCTGCTGAGGTCTGCAATGGTTCGGTTTAACACCGGCCAGCGTGATGTTGTAAAATCTTGACCTTGGACTCTATTTTTAAACTTCTTGTGTGTGATAAATACGGGGAGGAGAGGAATTAGGCTAAAGCCGTGGAGAAAAGGGGGCAAGGCTACACCTGAGGAATTAGCAGGGATGTCAACAAATCTTTGGGACCAAAACCCCAAATCAGAGCCCCTATTGAAAACAAATATTTTTACCTGGGGGGGGGAAGGGAGGGAGGGTGGATTCTGAGTCACAAGACAAGTCTGAGTCATTGAAAAAAAAAAGACACCTAAGTCCAGCTTGACAGTAAGTCTCGCAACTTGAGTCTCCATTCCCAGGAATTAGCACATTGGGGAGGTACACAGAATTAACTCTATTGTGGGGTACACAGAAATATGATCTCCCTTATATGGCACGCCTCTCGTTTTATTTGTGTGAAAAATTGCTCCTGAAAGGGTTCAAAGCATGTGACGCTATCAAAGGCGATGATGGTGTTGCTTAAATGTGGAAAAGAAGGGCCGTTGTGTCAGGATCCACCCCCTCTGCCCCCCACAAATGCGCTCTAGGAGGTTCCCTCTTGCACCCCCACCAGTCTGACAACACATGGAGGCGGGGGGGGGGAGGAGGATGATGGTGTTGCTTAAATGTGGAACAGAAGGGCCGTTGTGTCAGGATCCCCCCCCCCGCCCCCCACAAATGTGCTCTGGGAGGTTCCCTCTTGCCCCCCCACCAGTCTGACAACACATGGAGGCGGGGGGGGGGAGGAAGGTGAGATTCTTACACAATTTCTCTTTGTTCCAATTTTTAGGCCAAACGCTACAAGCGGAGAGTCATTTTTTGCTTTGCATTTTATGGGGAGAAAATGGGGTTGCTATGCAAATGCAGATCATAAAGAAGCGTCATATTACTATTAGCAGCCTCTGAGAAACTCAGTTATTCAAGGCAGCTTTGAATAGTTCAGTGTTATTTAGGAAATGTGCTTTTTCTTTGCTGTTTATGATGGAAAAAAGACCACTCCATATAAAGAAATGCATAGGTCAGTGGTTTCTCCCTCTGGCTGCAGAGTCGATTTCACCCGTGTGCATCCTTGACAGGGGCTGGACTGGATGACCCACAGGGTCCCTTTCATCTCTGCAGTTCTCAGGTTATTGCAGAATGAATAAGTTAAACAAGCATAGAAGGGAACGAATTCACAGAAACCTAATATTGCTTTGTATGACCAGTGGAAATGCTATATATATATTTTTTAAAAAATTGTCTCTGCAAAACCCTCTTAAAAACAACAGATGAAGCTGTTTCTCTCTCGCTCACGAACCAGCCTGTATAAAGTGTCATGTGAAATAATTTTGCAGATAATAGGAGTGAGCAGAAGACCTGTTTTGATTCCCTTATGTGAACCATCAAAGTTACAAAAACTTATCTTTTGAAACCATTTCTTGGCCTCTAGCTTTCAATAGTAATGAGACTGGTGACCTTCATGGCTGTGATACCCTGACTTTACCCATGTTCTCGCCCGGTATGTTTCCACAGCGCTATGTCCGATGTAGGTTTAGCACCCATTGAAGTCCTCTCTGTTTGTCCGTGCCTCGTAGAGAAGCTGTCGAATCACAGAACTTGTCCATCTTCCTTACCTCCCTCTGGTTCTTTTTAATAGTTATGTTGTAATTGGCTGGTTGGCTAGCTCAGTGAGTTATATTTCTAGCTGCAGAGCCAGAGGTTGGGAGTTTGATTCCCCCACTGTTCTTCTTATGAATAGAGCCAGCCTGGGTGGCCTTGGGCAAGCTGCACACAGTCCCAGGTTTGCCCCAGAAGAAGGGAACAACAAACCACTTCTGAGGATTCTCTACTTACAAAACCCTGTAAAAGGGTCACCCTAAGTCTGAATTGACTTGACGGCACACACTGATTGCTATTAGTATTACTATTATGTCTTAGCTATTCTCGGAGGTCTTATTCGAAGAGTGGTATAAGGCATTATGGAAATTAAAATGTGTGGGGAATAACATTAGTAAAGTGGAGGTACATGGATTTTAACATACTACTTCCAAGAGTTTAAGACAGTTTGAAGCACTGACACATTCTGTTATGGGAGTGGGCTGTTGTTTAGCATGAAATCTTGAGTTCGTTCACCCTGGAGAGCTGATTCCAGTCCGAGTAGCTGATCTTCAGCAAGATAATCGGGGATGCAAATGCTGTGTTACAAAATCCAAGAGGCAGGCTTGTTTCTGATGTCCTTGCCTCTAGTGCTCCCCCCTTCCCATGTTCTAAAGTTTGCACCATTTTTTTTACAGTCATAGAATCTTCTCTGCGGGTGGCGGGTGTAACTGGTCATCAAATACAGTCATCATAAGTACATTCTCCGTACTGTGTAACGGAGAACATCTGAAGTGTCTCCACACTCAGAAATTTCTGTTCTTTGGAGCGTAAGGTTGCCAAAAGAGCTCATGACCTGCCATGTACAAGAGCGTGGAATGATCCATCAATAAAGTTTCAAGCTATTGCTCTTTGATTTCGCTTTCTCTCAATGAGGTGGAAATGCATCCTCCTTGAAACAGAGAGGGTGGCTATGCTTGCCTCTTTCAGTAGATGTAACAGGAGCAAAAATATCGTGATCCCTTAAGAGCTAACAGGCCAGAGTCCTTGGGGTGGTTGATACGTGGAATCATGTAAGTTGTGGCTACAAATTGCTGGTAATTGATGAAGTGCTTATGTTTGGTGCTGTTAAAAAGTGCACGTCCAGGAACACACCCAGTCCCTCACTTGCAAGTGACAGCACTCCAGCATGGTTTCATGTACATATGTGCAAATTGCCAACAGGATTAGGGCCATAGGTTTTTCAGTGTCAGGTTTTTGTTTTTTTTTTGCGCCTTACATTTGACTTCCTCAGACACATCCTAAAGCAGCCACATCACTTCTTATAAGATGCGTTATAATTCAGTGGCTTTCAGTAGAAACATGCAAAGGGAAACTAGGGACCACCATATAAATGTTAACAGCGCCTCGTGTCGCCTCGTGTCTCTGTTCTCTACCCCACCAAGTGTATGAACCCATGTGTCTCTGCTGGAGCTCCATCACTCTGTCCACGACACACAATAAACAATGAAGTATATTTGGCTGAATGGACCATTTGGATGATGGTAAATCACTGCTGTCCCACATTCTGGGGGAGTATATTCTAGGACTTGACCAGCAAAACCGTAGGAAGTCTGTGACAAAGTGGTACCCTGACATCTTGCTAAAAGAAACCTGTTACGGTTGGTCCTTTTTCTTATCAATATCATGAGATGGAGGTTGCCATTGATGCATAGCAGAGAGCTATGCTATTTATTGTGAAAATGTTATTAGGCCATTGCTGTGGGCTCAGCTTAGAGATGTAAAATTTCTGAATATTTCCATTAAAAAACCTGGAGAAATGTTTTTTGGGGAGCGATGGAAATTTTTGGAAAAAAGTTTTTTCCCCCCTGTTTCTTTTCTGGAGAAAATGGAAATTTTACATCTCCAGCTCAGCTATTCAACAGCCCATGTGCCTGCCGTGTGCTGAGACATCAGCCTAGATGGGTTGATTCCCACCTTCTTCACTTGCAAGGAAAGCTGGTCCTTTTCCGTTGGGCAGCTCAAAATGCTACTCAAGATAGTTATGCGTGAGCTCCTACACAAACTGACGTTCCAGGGGCTTTTGGTTCTGCCAGATCCCTCTTACGGTTTGCCTTATCAGGTGCTTTAATCCATTAGCGTTTAATCATATTTTACCTTTGCCTTTGGAGCTTGTACTTCTCACAAGGGTTGGGAATTTGAATCCCCACTGTGCCTTCTAAGGGGAGACGGGTCGGTTGAATCCTGTGTGGCTGATGGGTTTACAAGCCCTGCCACTCGCGTGGTCTTGGGTAGGTGGCGTGGCGGCCCCAGAGTCCCTCCAGAAGGAGGGACCTGTCAGTGCACAGAGATATGCGTTTTGGTGATAAATTTTAATGTGGTGACAAATCGCCTTGCCCTGGTATGGGCCCAGAGAAGTGGGCTTGCATGTCAACAATGATTTCTCTTCATAATTCGCCGGGAGAGTGAGATGCTTCCACCACCAGATGGTCTACAGACTGGAGACCTACTTCTGAGGGCTTCACTCCTGGAAGATTCTACAACGGCCACCAGAAGACGGAAACAACTTGACAACACGTTATTATTATTCTTATGAGTTCTTGCCCAACAGGTTCTGCCTGTTCTCACCCCACTGCCCAGAGAAGTGGGATTAAGGGCCGAGGTCGGAGTCCCCAACCCCACATGAGAACATGGTGGGGATGTCTGTTGAAATGTCACCTCTAACCCCCTTTTTTCCTTGTTGAGTTTCTTTTCATGATACTGTAGTGTAAAATACTACAATTTGCCATGATAAAAATGGCCCCAGTTCCACCCTACTGTGCCAAGAGTCAACGTTAACATAACAAAATTAACTTGAAACTCACTAAATAACAATGTGAGGGAAGTGAGTTTTGTTCTGGAGTTTAGTGTTGCGTAGTATTATTTTTTAATAATAATAATCTTAGAACTGCAGATTCAGGGTATTGAAAGCAAGGACAAGCAGATTCAAGAACAGTTAAGACCTAAAGCACAGTTTGCTTGGCAAATTAGCGACTGTAATCTGCCAGCCTGATCATCATCATTCTTCCACAACAACTTCTCCGTGGATTTAGGGATGGTCGTGAAGCAGCCTCTTCCCCCCCCACCACCACCTAAAAGGAAAGATGGAGAACTTTTTGGAAATAGTTCGGCAAAGCAACCTTGTGATCCTTGGATTGTGGAAATGGTTGCGGCAGTCGAGATGCACACACAAGAGACATGCGCTAGGCGTATAAGCTGAAGATTTTTCCCGCTCTGATGTTCTGAAGAGGTAGCCGTGTTACTCTGTGCTGGCACGTCAGGCTAAAACGAAATAATTTAAATAAATAAACAAACAAACAAAATAATGTTTTTTAAAAAGATAAAAACATTGCGGTACCTTAAGGACTAACAGCTATTATTATAATGTGAGCTTTTTGTGTGAAAAAGTAGACTTCTCCATGAAAGTTCACATTAAAATATAGCAGTTAGTCCTTAAAGTGAAGCAATGTCTATCTCAGTTTTGCCCAATCTGTGCTATTGTGTTATTTGTGCAACAATTGCTGTCAGGCATGTGAAAACCCTTTAAAGGTGCCACAATGTTTCTGTTCTTATTCATTTTGATTTTGTCTTTGCTTTTCCAAAAAGAGTCTCTCTTATAGCAGATTGAGAAGGGTCAACATCCTCAGTTCGTCATAATTTTTGGCACGGCGCTCATTGCCATCGCACGACCAATAATAGAACAGCAGTAACCTTGCCCTCTTTAATCCAGAGCTTGGGGTGGGTGGGTGGAATTGCACCTTTGGACTACCGTTCCCCAGTATCCCCCAGGCCAGCAAAGCCAGTGGCTTGGAGTTGTAGTCCAGACAAAATAAACATTTTCTAAGCTTTAGTCTCCTCTGCTCTGCGGCTGTCTGGCATGTTTCCTGAGATCACCAGGGGGTCTGGATCAATCTGGAAGGGACACCTAATCTTAAAGCTGCTATTAGTCCTCTTGGCACATTTGTGTTTTTGAGTTTGCTTATCAAACAAATGTGCATCCTAGCCTCTGGTGGAATTAGGACCCAGTGACCATGTTGGCACATTTCTCCTGCTTACACCTTGCTTCTGGAGAGGACCTTGAAGACTTATGCCCTGTCCATGGTGGCATATTGACATTGATCTATATAAATTGCTAAAGGCATGGTTTGGATGGGAGGGGCAGGGGGGGAGACCTTATCCATGAGTTTTTCTACTTAGATCAAGCCATCCTTTCCCTTTAAGAACAGTACCACACCTTTCTGGCCCAGGGAATAGGGCATGCATTCTTTCTGGCATGCTTGTTGTTGAGCCTGGAGATAGCAGCCTCCGGTGGCCTCTGCTATCATGCAGATTCTGAGGAAGGAGAGAGAAAGTGAGGAGAAAACAAGGGAAGGGAAGCAGGTGAGGGAGAGGGACAAAAATGGAATGGCACCAACAGAGGGATAGAGGAGTAACATTTAAAAAATCCACTTCCCCTGATCCTCCAAAGATGATCAGGGGAAGTGTTCAATTGACAGCTGATGGGACTACAAGGGGTCATTTGCTGTTCAGATGAAAGGACTGTGGCAAATTGTACATCACTCTCAACAGACCCTTTCTAGCCTGGTCCACCTCACACGCAAAATGGCCAGTATGGAATGGCCATTAGGCTGGGCCTGAATCTTCTGTGTTACTAGGGGCTGATGGACTGTAACACTAAGTCAAGATGGGAATGGGTTAGGGCCAAGAAAGAGCAAACCAGAGCTTCATGCCTTCACCATTCTTCCGATATAGCTGGAAAAAAGGAATTTAGGAATATTATTTTCTTTGTTGTTCACAGATCCCTGGTTAATCATACTTAAATATGCTTGAGATGTCTGAACAGTTCATCTGTCCAGATGACAGAATAAACCAGAATTAAGTGAAAAGAGAAGTGATGACTTCTCTTTACCATACAGAAAATAGGGTGGAAGAAACATACGGCTTATTTATATCGTGCTGAATGATGGCTTGTCCAGTTATCTGTGTTCTGGATTCGAATCAGTTATCATAGTTTATCCAGTTACAAAACAGAAGCAAGCAACTTTGCTATAAATGTGGATTCAGGTGATCTGGTATCAGAATAAACAGTCTTGCTCTCTTAAGGGTGCCCTGCTTTTAATAAGCATCTTATCCGGTGAAGCCCTTCATCGGAGTAAAAGTACTAGGGAGCAAACCTCAGAAATGGAGCTGAGAAGGCAGCTCTAACAGCTGTTTGTTTCAATATACCAGGGACGTGGTGGCGCTGCGGGTTAAACCGCAGAAGCCTCTGTGCTGCAAGGTCAGAAGACCAGCCGTCGTAAGATCGAATCCACGCGACGGAGGGAGCTCCCATCGCTTGTCCCAGCTCCTGCCAACCTAGCAGTTCAAAAGCATATAAAAATTCGAGTCGATAAATAGGTACCACCTCGGTGGGAAGGTCACAGTGTTCCGTGTCTAGTCGCGCTGGCCACGTGACCACGGAAACTGTCTATGGACAAACGCTGGCTCTACGGCTTGGAGATGGGGATGAGCACCACGCCCTAGAGTCAGACATGACTGGACTAAAAATGTCAAGGGGAACCTTTACCTTACCAATATTTATGTAATGATTTTCAGATTTTGACAGAGTTTTGATTCAGCGACGACCTCTTATAACAACGCACAGAGCCCATACGGTACAGCTTGATTGTTGTTTTTCCTTCTTTGTATTTTAGAACGGCACCAGCTTCCATGTCTTTGATCAGGGACGTTTTGCCAAGGAAGTGCTGCCCAAGTATTTCAAACACAACAACATGGCCAGTTTTGTCCGACAGCTGAACATGTGTAAGTAACAGGCTGGGACTCAGAAGAGACCCGGGTTGGAGGCCTTCTGGACGAGGAGGGGGCGCCTGGTGGCATCGGTTCAGATGCAGCCCCCCATGGAAGGAATCAAAGCTGGAGAGGGCTGTGTGGGACGTGTGTTTTGTGAGACATGGGGGTAATGCCCTCTAAAAGGGGAAAAAAGGAAACCCCTTGGGATATAAAGCGAGACCTCCATGAGGTGTCTGGCCATATGTAACCTCTATAAGGTGTCAGATCAGCTGCCTGCTTCTCGCATCCTCAGGTGTTGTATAACCAACCTGTGCCTCCTGGCCCCTCATCTTTCTGATACTCCCTCACTGACTGTCTGTCTGTCTGCCTGTCCTTTAGATGGTTTTAGGAAGGTGGTGAACATTGAACAAGGTGGTCTTGTCAAACCGGAGCGAGACGACACAGAATTTCAGCATCTTTATTTCCTCCAGGGCCACGAGCACCTCTTGGAACATATCAAAAGAAAGGTAAGATCTGTGAGCGGGACTGGCCACTTGATGAAGTCTACAGACTGAATGTAAGAAAAAGCTTCTCATAAATTGTCATCTAGTCTTGGGAAAAGGCCCCATTCCTAGTTTTTCTTTGAGGTTTGATGAGTTTAACTTCTTCTATCTCCCCCCCCCTTCTGCCAAATATGGAGGGGAAAAGTCAAATTTGGGTAAACTATTTTGGCATTTAAATTAGAAAACCCCACAAGTGATTTTCCTTTTTCCTGGCAGTTAAAACACAACACTTATAAGTTAATATTTAAACAAATAAACTATAAGATAAAAATCGTTACCAAAAGGGTTGGAAAGTGCACTTTTATGGAGAGCGGGTCCCATCCCCATGGCCTCAGAACATGCTGTCATTCTGTCCCAGCGTCGTCTCCTGTTGTTGTTTTTCCCCTAGGTGTCAGTTGTGAAAAGCGAAGAAACGAAGATGCGCCAGGAGGACCTGAGCAGACTGTTGTACGAAATCCAAGTCCTCAGGAACCAGCAAGAGACGATGGAATGCCAAGTGCAGGACATGAAGCAGTAAGTGTGCCCCACGTTGTGATTTTAGTCAATTTCGAGCTGGCCCTTACTGGTTTCTACAGGTTGGAAAATTAGGGAGAATTCCATGCAGCTGCAACTGAGTGGCTCGGAAGCTCTTGCAGCTACCTGAGCAGGTATTGGCCTGTCCTTTTGCCTGTTGAACCAGCGATCTTAGCATCTAAGTAAAGGGGGGAGTCTGGCATTCAAAGAATTTTGGAGTCTTACCTTTGTTAGGAGGTGAGGAAGAGCAGAGCTGTAGCTAGCAGTTTCGGCACCCGGGGCAGCCACCACCCTCTCCCAGCTGCTCCACCCTAAGGCATGGGTGCAAGCCTCTCACTGACCCCCAAGAAAAAGGAAGGGGAAGAATGGGTACCATCCAGGAAAAAGAACTCATGCTTTCCAAAAAAAGAAGGGGTAGCAAATAGGGCTGGTAGTTGTTGGCAATCCAGCCTTCCAACAGTCATCAGTAGATTTGCCTCTAGATTTTGGGGCCTTGGGGCTAACCCCAGTTGTTTCACACTAGTTATAGCCCAGAGGAAGGGAGAACTAGAAGAATGACTACCTTGACAAATAATATGGGAAATGCTCCTGGATGCGGACGGTCTGATTTGTATTATTTTTCATTGACTACACAATATGCAAGTCATTGCAAATCAGTCTGGAGGTTCACCTCCCTCATGCATCCTTTTTTCTTCCCTGCAGGGGCTTCCGCTTTCCCCCTCATCAAATGCTTTTGCATCGGTTCAGGCAGTGTGATTGCTTGAGCTGATGCAGCTTCCAGGCTGAAAGGGCAGCCAGAAACTGGCTCTCCCAGCTTCATCATTCATGGTGGGGACAAAGAAGTTAAGAGGCACTCTCAGGGATGTCGGTTCCCCTCAACTGAGCACCTGTTGCCTCCAAACCATTTTTAAAAGGGTTTAAAGCAGTGCTTCCCAATCTAGAGTCCCCACATGTTCTTGGACTACAGCTCCCAGAAATCCTGGCCAGCAGAGCTAGTGGTGCAGGCTTCTGGGAGTTTTAGTCCAAGAACATCTGGAGGCCCAAGAGTGGGAACAATAGTTTAGAGCAAATGGTGGTGCATACTAGGGCATCTGGAGACCAAAGGGGAAGAAGGGAGTGTGAGAAATCTGCACAGAGCGGGAGAGAAATTGCTTGTTAAGATAGCTCTTGGAAACTTTGGCAGTTTGTTAAGGTAGCTCTGATATAGGCATGCCTTCTGCAGGTCTGTACACCCACAGCAGAGCTACCTTAACAAGTTGCAAATAAGATGAATAGCCAGTTTCCTCCTCTCTCCTTCCTGACTCCTGTGTGGTTGGTTAATGTGACCTTACTTGGGGAAACACAACATCCCACATGCAACTTCACAAGAGATCAATTCAATTTTTTTCTTGCTGTGTTGCAGAAGGGAATAACCTTCTGATGGGCTGATAGAAGGAAGATATACATCTCATTATAAAAAAAATGCTTCAATTATGATTGCTTTGCAGCCTTATTGTATACCTTACACAGAGGGATAATGGGCTTAATTAATTAAGCAGCACACTTTGCTTAATGCCTTTGCTTGCCTCGTGGGATTCATTCATAGATTCAAAATTGTGTTCTGTGTTTCCTTTCAGGCAGAATGAAGTGTTGTGGAGGGAAGTGGTGTGTCTCAGGCAGAATCATTCACAACACCAGAAAGTGATCAATAAGGTAACGTGTATATTGATGCTGATATAAAATAAGTGTGCCACACTTGCTGCTCTCACTGTCATGCACCTGATAAGAGTTTGGGCAGTTACGTTTAAGAAAAATGGCTGTATAAAGCAAATTGATTGGCGTCTGACAAATGAGTCTGACATTAGCCATGCAAACAGAATGTACTACGAATTGCTTTAAGCTTCGTGTGTGAATGGTCCTAGAGTTTCAGCACCTGCACAAAATGGAAATTGGTTGAGATGTTTTGGAAAAAGAAATGCATTAAAATAGCTTGTGGCTTAAACTAGACATTTGGGGATGTGGTGGCGCTGCGGGTTAAACCGCAGAAGCCTCTGGGCTGCAAGGTCAGAAGACCAGCCGTCGTAAGATCAAATCCACGCATCGGAGGGAGCCCCCATTGCTTGTCCCAGCTCCCGCCAACCTAGCAGTTCGAAAGCATGCAAAATGCAAAAATGCGAGTAGATAAATAGGAACCACCTCGGTGCGAAGGTAAATGGCATTCCCGTGTCTAGTCGCGCTGGCCATGTGACCATGGAGGATTGTCTGTGGACAAAATGCTAGCTCTGTGGCTTGGAAATGGGGATGAGCACCGTGCCCTAGAGTCGGACACGACTGGAGAAATTATCAAGGGGAATCTTTACCTTAACGTTTATAGACGAGATGCTTATTGTGTGTTTAGAAGTGCTGTTCTCTGTTGAAAGATGTCTGTTCCGCTGGGGCTAGTAGGGGTTGTGGTGCAAAATACTTTGAGGCACTGGGCTGGGCAGTCCCGAGAGTATAGGAAGCAGAGTAGAGTTCAATAACATCAACTTCAGAGGACAAAGATATTTCAGAGAGAAGTGCCTGGTTTTTCCTGTGAGCTTCTTCTTCTCATCTCTGGGAAGGGTCCCTGTGACCTGCTGGGCATACAGGCAAGATGGAGGCTTCTTGTGTAAATGGAGAGGGCGGTGGAGGAATGGGTGCTGAATCACTGTGCTGACCGACTTGACGCTTGATCTTGATTTCCCCTGACAGCTGATTCAGTTTTTGTTTGGCCAGCTCCAGTCAAACCCCAGCAGCACTGGAATAAAGAGAAAACTGTAAGTACCCTCGTGGGGGCGCATGCGCAGGAAGGCGCTTCACCCCCTCCCGGGGGGGGGCTCACCCCTTCATGGAAAAAAAAAACGCCCTAGCTCAGCTCCATGTGGCGTGGTGGGTCACCGGACCTGGGGCGCAACCATGGTGACTGTGGAATGAATGGGGGGGATGAACGGATGACTCGGAGCTGCTGATTTTGCTCCATTCAGGGCCCTCGGAGAAGCACCCTGTCAGCGTGCTGCGACTTTTGTTTTGGTAGTACGTGTGTTTTGGGGTGGGGTGGGGTGGGGGGAGGAAGAAGGAAGTTGGAAGAGAAAGGGGGGCATGGGTGGCAAGTCCTCCACCCACCCTGAAAACGGGAAAGGGTTTTTCTAGCAGCATCTCCCGGCTGGACCACGCCTGGTGCTACGTCAGGATGGACCAGGTGAAGCCACATCCATGGGTGGGCTTTTTGGGTGGCTATAGAAGAGGGTGCAGGAGTCAATTCTCCACTCTTGAGGATAGTGCCCCCCCCGGAGTGGGGGGCTGCCCCAGCCGCTGGGTGGATTCTTGGAGTAGTAATCAAGACAAGTTAACTTTCTCCAAGTCTTGGTTTCAGTCTGAGATGGGAAGAACTGAGCTAGGGACTTTACTGGGAATCGTCTGGAATGGATAGCTATGGGGTTTTGGCATCTGGCTGCTGTGCCAGAGATTGGGAGATCGATTCCCCCATTGGGCCTCTTGACAGGGGCTGGACTAGATGATCCTGAGGGTTCCCTTTCTAGCTCTACAGTTCTGTGATGGTGATGTTGATAATTTTCAGTAGAAAATTGCCCCACCTCCTCAATTAGGCTGTTAAAATTAAGAAACCTTGGAAAAGAAAACAGGGGGTGGGCTTGTAAATATAGGGATGCGTGCCGGAGCGCGCCTTCTCAACCCAAACCCAGTTTTTTCTGCTTAGCATGTTCTACAAGTCTATGCTTGATGCTCAGATACCATGTTTTCTGTTTTGTTGGTGGCCTTTGGGGGTGGTTGTGGAAAATAAGGTGGGTCTAACTGGCCAGTCACCCCTACTCTAGAAACATTCAACACACATTCACAGAAACCTTGATAGGAATGGCTAGTGACGATGGCAGCTACGGTAGATCCATTAACACAGTGGGATTTGCACCCTTGACTTAGCACTTCCCAGTTGACTTCGCTGGGTCTGCTCTCTGGTTGAGGTTCGCGATGGGGCAATGGCTCATCTTCTTACAAAAATCCCACAGTGATTGGTGGCAGTGATTGGAATCAAGTGTCCCCAACTCGCTTGTCTTTCAGCAGACCTCTCATGCTGGATGATGGGAATCCTGTTCCACAAATGACTAAGTACAGAAGACATTTGTCTCTGGATCCTCTTCACGATTCCTATTTCATTCAGTCGGTAAGTCTGGCCTTGAAGAAAAGTAGACACTGATTGCTTAATAGGACAAACTTTGGGTGTGTTGATACCAGGGTGGTGTAGCGCAGTGGTCCTCAACCTTGGGCCTCCAGATGTTCTTGGACTTCAACTCCCAGATATCCTGACCAGCAGAGGTGGTGGTGAAGGCTTCTGGGAGTTGTAGTCCAAGAACATCTGGAGGCCCAAGATTGGGGACCATTGGTGTAGTGGATAGAATGAAGTTTTCAGAGGGAGAAGATGTGGGTTTCAATCCCTGCATGGCCATGGAAACTATTTTTGTGGGGAGAGGGTAGCAAACAGAGCTATTTAAATATGAACTATTAAAATCATGATAATATCTCATTTTCCTTGGGAACCCAGTTTGCCTTTCTGTCAGTCAGTTCCAACTTGGTGGCACATAACACGCAGGTTAAAAATATTAAGCTGATATTCTGGAGTTTCATCAGGGCTTTAAGATACCTCCCTCTTTCCCTCCTCTTTGCTGGCAGCCGTCTGCAGAGCCTGCCTCACGCTTGAGCAACAATCCTGCCGTCGCCGGAGGGCCGATCATATCGGACGTTACCGAAGCCTCACAGTCTAATGCTGTGATCATGCAGCCGCCTCCTGAGGTTGAGAGGTAAATGACGGACAAGAGCGAAGGATTTGGGTGGGCCCTGCGGAGACCTCAGACGAGTTCGGAGCGGTGGTCCCCCCCCCCCAAAAAAGGGGTCACTTTTCCAAGCTCTTGATTGGTGCAGGATCTAGGAAGAAATAAGTCCTGCAGAAGAGCTCAAGACCCCTGCAGGGAGGTAATAGAGTGAAGGACTTAAATTTCATATAATAGTCATTACATGCAATCAAGTCAATTCTGACTTATGGCGAGCCTTTTCAGAGGGATTTCCAGGTAGAGAATACACAGAAGTACTTCACCATTCCCTTTTTCTTGGGGTGCCTTGGGACTCTGCGGCTTGCCCAAGGCCACCCAGGCTAGCTCTACTCATAAGAAGAACAGTGAGGGAATCAAACTCCCAAACTCTGGCTCTGCAGCCAGTAACCTAAATCACTGCAAAAGGACTCACCGCCCCTCCCTTCCTTTGTCCTTCTATCAAGCTTATTCAGACCAGCACAGAGGAAGCGAAACCAGCATGGAGGCTATCTCTGGGGTCTGTACTTTGTAGCTCAATAGCTAGAAACGAACCTGTAACAATCGGTCCCAATGCCATTCTTTGCTTTGAGCGAATCCTCCCTCTGTCTGCTGCTGGATAGCTCAGCAGTAGGTCCGTCTTTGGCTGTGGAGCCAAAGGTTGGGAGTTTGATTTTCCACTGCCTCCTTGAGAAGGGGCTGGACTTGATGATCCATAGGGTCCCTTCCAGCTCTGCAGTTCTGAAGTTATGATCTCCAATCCCTCCCATGAATTAGGAGTTAGTGACAACATACCTCACCCAGATCCCTGAATGGTGAATCCGTGTAGTGTGGGGCTGCAGAGGCTGGCCACACTCGTGTCAAAGGAACTATCCAAGGTGCTGAACTTATTTGAGGGAGACTCTTCAGCACATGGGGACATGGGGGCGCTGCGGGTTAAACCGCAGAAGCCTCTGTGCTGCAAGGTCAGAAGACCAGCCGTCGTAAGATCGAATCCATGCGACGGAGTGAGCTCCCGTCACTTGTCCCAGCTCCCGCCAACCTAGCAGTTCGAAAGCATGTAAAAATGAGAGTCGATAAATAGGTACCACCTCAGTGGGAAGGTAATGGTGTTCTGTGTCTAGTCACGCTGGCCACGTGACCACGGAAACGGTCTTTGGATAAAACGCTCACTTTATGGCTTGGAAATGGAGGTGAGCACCACGCCCTAGAGTCGGACATGACTGGACTAAATGTCAAGGGGAACCTTTACCTTTACCTTCAGCATGTTGGAGAGCTCCAGTATGTTTCAGACCAAAATCTGAAGTGCGATCACTCCCTTCAGAGACTCTGGCATCGTTAACCTCCCTTGAAGGGCTGTAATACACTCTTTCCCCATTGTATTCAGGACCCACGTCTGATGTCAGTCTGCCAGTTGGACACCAGGCCCTCCTCCAATGCCAGCCTCATCCACTTTCTAGACTAGTTGTGTGGATAAAACAGCAGAAGGGTGAACGTTTTGATCCTGGTAGAAGAAGCGGGAAGGGAACCAAAAGCTTCATGGGTTATCTCTGTGTCTTAGTGTGTTAAATTCCTGTGGGCAGGAGTTCCCCTTGTTCTGGTGTAAGTCTCTCCTGAGGCTGCACCCTGGGCTAGTCTTTAAGATGCCCCAAGAATTCTTGTTAAGTCTGCTGCCATCCTCTTAACATAATTATCACCTGAAAATGTCCCCTTTGCTTTTTTCCCAGACCAGAAATGGCCGATCCTTTGGAGGGTGCCGACTTGACTCTGGAAGGCCTTCAGATCCTGCTGAGGAGCCAGCAGTACAACCTGGAAGCCGCAAATCCTTTGGAGGTACGTTTTTATGGGCACTTGCATAACTCCGTTTTTGTTTTTCAGATCTCGCCTTCAAAGGGTCTGAAAATCAAACGTGCAAACTTCTGCAGATAGGCTTTTTTTAAAAAATGGAAATTTATGGCTCTTGGCTGGCTTAGAGTTCAACCATCTCCTTGTGTTCGTTTAGCGGTTTATTTCTTTTAAAATATTTTTGTCCTGCCTTTCTCCTTAAAGGGGACCCAAGGCGGCTTACCCCCAACTAAAAGACAACATTTAAAAGGAAAAAAAAAACATTAAGTATTAGAATATTTTAAAAAGGAGGGCTCTGTTGAAAGTCAGAGCTTTGAGAAGTTTAACTTTTTGGACTACAACTCCCTAAAACCACATTGGCTGGAAGATTTGGGAGTTGTAGCCAAAAGAAGTAATTTTTTCCCAACTCTGCAGAAAAGTGTCCCTGACATTTTCGAAATAAAAGTGCATTTTCCAGCCAGGTGCATCATTGTATGGAGGAAAGGAATCAGGCACAAGAAATTTAGCTGTGCAAACTCTATAGCTCTCTCTCTCTCTCTTTCTTTCTTTCAAAAAGACTTCAAATGCCACAATAAGCTTCACACAAACTATAGCTGACTTACTCAGCTATAGTGGAACTCACTGCCACAAGATATAGCCATGGGTATCAGTGTAGATGGTTTTTAAAAAGCATTAGACAAAAAGGAAAGCAATTGGAGTACTGGTTGTTGCAGAGTAACTAACTTGCTTTTTTGTCTTGTTGTGGGTTTGCTGAAGCTTTTGGCTGGCTGCTGGAAACCGTAGTCCTGGCCTAGATGGGTCCTGCATGAACTGATCTGGCAGAATCTTTATATTTTAATGTAAATTAATGTTTCCCATTTTCTTCCTTTGTCTGCCTACACTGACTTTAAAAGAAGCAAAACTATGAGTGCTTTCTACCTAGACAACCTGAAGTCTGAATTGAGTTCTTGGTATGCAGTTATTTGTTAAAGAAAATAAGAACCAGAAATGGTTTCCTACCATTAGAATAGGGGTCCATGTCATAAGAAGGGTCTCTTTGTTCCCCTTCAGGTCTTCAACCCCACTCTGTCTGCAAGTGAATGGAATCTGAATGAAGTGGAGGCCAGTTTATCTTCGGTAAGAGAGACATATCTTCGGCACAGGGGGGAGGTTGAGCGAGAGGGTGCCTCTAAACACAGATGCCTACTTTTAGCATGGAAAAAATGGCCCGAGGCTCTGAACGAAGTAGGGTTGCTTCCCTGCTGAGCCATCCTCTCCCTAAGCCAGTGTACAAAATAAGACCTCCTAAGGAGTAATCCTGTGGCCTTCAGCTAGGCTAATTCTCTGGTACATGAGTGTAGAATGCTGACCTCTTCCATCCATCCATCCATCCATCCATCCATCCATCCATCCATCCATCCATCCATCCATCCATCCATCCATCCATCCATCCATCCATCCATCCACCTCCCCCCCCTTTTTCCATAAGAATGCAAAATCTTCATCTGTCTGACCATGGCTGCGGTTTGGGGTTTTGTGTGTCATTATTCCAGTTCATAGTGATTCCCACCACCACCAACTTGAATGTAATTCTCCTTGCCAAATAGAAATAAGATCTTTCCCCCTGCTCCCAACCTCTTTCATGAATCATTTTTTGATAGCTCTTACCATAATTTACCTTATCCTTCGTTGTTTGCTACATGCACTCAAAACATTCTCACTTTCCTTGTTATTTTCTATTATTAACCATCCTGGCCACAAAGCAGATAACAGGGAAAATAAGATTTTTCTCCTGCAGCTAAGCCAATGGTCCAAAACTGTAAGAGATTCAGCCAAAGTCTGTTTTAAGTATTATCCAGACTTGCCTCGTTTAGCCCATAAATAATTTTTCTTTTGGTCTTCAGTTAGTCTTACCGCTGACCACCTTTGCAAGGTTATTCAGATAACACTTATGGTGTCGTTGTTTAACCAGATTTCTAAACTTCGCCCCCCATTCTTCTTTTCCTCTTTCTGTTCGTACAATTCTGTATTATTTGTGTTGTAGTTTGTGTTTTTGCCTCAGGATGCCGAGCCCAGTGTTGGATCTGGAGAAGAATGCAAATGAGATGTCTGTTGAGTGTTGGATCTTGACTTTTTGGTCTTTTGCCCAGGTACGCGATGCAGCTGACATTTCTCATGTATACTTTTGTTGAGGGCAAAGGGGCCGTTGAGCCATTAATGTAGGGAACAGAAATTTCATGATTCCTTTAGGTTCAAACTAGACAATGCCCTAGAAGAGGAAACAACTGTTTGTTCTAGCAGGAGACTGGGAGATTAGTCTGCTTTTATTTACAGTGGTGCCTCGCTAGATGATGATAATCGTTCCACTGAAATCGCTGTTTAGCAAAATCATCGTCTAGCGAAAAGCATTTCCCCATTGGAATGCATTGAAACCTGTTTAATGCGTTTCAATGGGGAAGAATCGTTGTTGTCTAGCGAAGATCGGCCATAGGAAAGCCGCTTTGCGAACCGCCAATCAGCTGTTTAAATCGCTGTCTTGCGAAGCTTAGGTCCCAAAAACACCTGTTTTGCAAGCGCGGAGGGAGCTATCAAAATTGTCGTCTAGTGAAAATCAGTTTGCGAAGCAGGGACCAAACATTGTCCAGAGAAATTCCCCATAGGAATCACTGTTTTGCAAATCGCTATAGCGATTACAAAAAGCCAATGTCTAGCGAAAAAACGGTCATGCGGGGTAACTGTCTAGTGAGGCACCACTGTACTTTGATCAACTGGGAGGTAGTTCTAAGAGTCTGGTATTGTTATAATTCTCCTAGGACTGGTCAGTCTGAAAATCTAGAAGGGGAAGTGAGAATCCTGGCTGACTCTTTCCATACACAGCTGTCTTCTTAGCCCGAGCTACTAGAAGCATTCACTGGAAGGACCAGTTCCTTTATTTCCTTCAGCTAAAACTGTTCCTCTTTCCCTCCTAACCTTTCCTAGTTGTTCCCTATTTCATGAGGACCCTGGTTATTGTTCGTTTGCCTATTTGCCCAACTCATGTGCTGATCAGAGTGTTTTCCGTCTGTCCTTCTAGGGAGAGATTTCCCTTGTCAGCCACCCAACGCGTTGGAGAGGAACACGAATGTAACAGGAAGGTCGACCCTCTGCCAACCCAGCTTCTTTCTTGGCCCTTGTGAGCAGTCACAGACAAACCCAGTCACGTCCCCGTTAGCCCTGACCCTCTTCCGTTGAGAACCAGGTTTGCTCTGTGGCTTAGCTTGAGCAGATGGATGTATGTCTTCACTTCACCTTCTAGGGATCATTTATCTTTTTCCGTGGAAAGAAAAAGGGGGTCAGTGGCTCGTAACAGGATGTATAAATGTGATGTGATCTTGACTGTTGGTGCTCTATTTAGTGTGGTCTTGAAGCACCCATCCTATGTATGTGGTTTTCTGGAACTGAAACAGCAGCTGACTTCCCTCTTTCCCCCGGTGAGATTAGGGGGCACAATCTTCACCACAGCTTGTCCTGGTTGTTCAGCATTTTTCAGCTGTTTTCATCATAGACCTTCCCATGATGCTCAAGCAGATTCTTGTATTATTATTCTCTATTTAGTGTGGTCTTGAAGCACCCATCCTATGTATGTGGTTTTCTGGAACTGAAACAGCAGCTGACTTCCCTCTTTCCCCCGGTGAGATTAGGGGGCACAATCTTCACCACAGCTTGTCCTGGTTGTTCAGCATTTTTCAGCTGTTTTCATCATAGACCTTCCCATGATGCTCAAGCAGATTCTTGTATTATTATTACTTTATCTCTTGCTTCATTATTGGAGCCTGGGAGGGTCAATGTGGGGTTCATCCCATGTCAGATATTCTCTTGATATGTAAGTACCGCATTGACCTATGGTATCGGAACATGATCTTATCATGATCAGCTGGGTGATGGAAAGGTCAGTCTCGCATCCAACATGACTGCATTAACACATTCGCACAGTTGTGCTAGATCTGAGGTTAACATGATGTGGGGGAATCAAAGAAAAGGGAACTTGCAAATAATTGTAACTTCCCTTTTGACTTCTTTTTGCTAAAATGCCCAGTTACAGTTGTTGGGTGTTTTCAGGGTTTTTTAAAAAAAGCTTTAAAAGAATTTTATACGAGATTAAGCGATGCAGCACTGTATTTATTTTTGATCTCTGGCAAATCTGAATCTCAAAAAGCAAAATTTAAATTCTGCTGAATTTTGAACATACGGGATATTTTTTTGGTCTGGCTTCCGTTTGTACCCATCCTTGCAGATCCAGGATGTGGATGGCCCTGTGGGGCTGTCATCCCCTGTCACAAAACCGCAGCGTGAGAAACCGCGGCCAGCAGGAATTTGTGCCTTCTGTCTTATTGGAGACACCATGCTATATTTTTTATCCCCTGGCTTGGAAGTTGGGGTAGATAACCACATCGCGTCCACCTCCCTCTGTTCCTTTCCCTTTCCCTGTGGAACATGCTCTCTCACCTTAGGGTTGGAGGGAAACCACCCACATGAAAATGAGACCAGTTTATATGGAGTTCGACTTGCCGATGTCCGGCCAGTTCTTGTCTTTGACGACCTTCCTTCTCTGTTTTGCTGATTTCTTGGTGCGCCATTTAGCACCATGGAGACGAACATGGCCACCAACCAGTGTCATGGCTGGTTGGCATGAAAGATGAGACATGTTGGATCAGTACTCTTAAGGTCTAATCACTGTGTCCTGATCAGGTTTCTCTTACCTCAGGGAAAGGGTGTTCCCATGAAGGGCTCCTACTGAAGCAGCTGTGGGGGGTCCATGTTTTCTCTGGTTCCTTGAGATTAGGATGTGCTGCTCAATGTCCCTCAGGGCATGGAGAGTAGTCTTTCAACTGCTGTGTGAATGCAATGCTGGAAGAATAAATGCTGGTGTGTCAGATCCTGCTGAATGAGGTTATATTAGTAGGCTTCTTTAGTAAAACAAAATGTAGTGAGGATAGCAGTGTCTTCCTTTTATGCATTTGTGATGCGTTTGCACCTAAACTATATCAAGCTTTGTGCTAGTGAAACTGTCATGGCTTCCCCCCCAAAAAAAGGATCAAGGGGGGGGGTCTGAGGTGAGCTGAGGATTATCTGTTGTCTCTTAATATCTCTGACGCCAACACCCCAAAATTGGGAGCTGGCAATGAGTTCCTTGGAGAGATCAACAACTGTCAACCCAATTCAACATAGGAGGTGTTCTGCTTTTTCCACAACTGGAGGCAGGAGAGAACTGAGGGCAGCTGAGGAGGAGACAAGGTCTAGCCCTAAAATAATATAGCTGAAATTGTGTTGTGTAGGAAATTGCAACTTGAGTAGGCCCACTGAATCAGTGAGACTGACGGAGGAGTTCAGTCACCCAATCCTCATTAAATGGGCTTGCTCTAGTTGTGATTTGCAACACTAAGCCACAAGATTTCAGCCTTTTCCCCCCGTATTCTTGGTCTTATAACACACTGGTAATAGCAGAGCACCTCCACGCATGTCCCGTCCAAAATACTTTCGTTATTACTAAGTTATGACAACAGCCTCTCCTCTTCCTACCTGTATTAGGAAGTGAGCAGCTTTTGAAGATACTTTAGTCCTGGCAAACCTTGCGTGTGGAAATTAAGCATAGCTTGAGTGGTAGTACTATGTGTAAGAGAATAGATGAAATGGATGTTTAAAACTTCTCTTTTCTTAGTTTATTTTCCCCTACATCTTTTGTGATTTTCTGAGAGTGACCTTGGCTGGGTCAACTTTTCCTTGTGGCAGAAGGCTGAATTTCATAGCAAAGTAGAGATTTGTTTGCAATAGTTCTTAAAATTAAATTGTATAAACACTGAGTAGAGAATAGCCTCCGTCGGCTACAGTATTAATCAGGGATATTACACTAGAAAATTATAGGCCTATTGTTCATTAGAACCTTTTGGTATTTCCTAAGTTTTTTTTGCTTATGGAAAATACTGATCTATCCATCCATTGTTGTAAGAGAAAGGGATAGGATGATGAGGATGACTGCATTAAAGGGTATTTGCCCAGCTGTATTGTGGCTCATAGTGATGGAGTAGCAATTCGTGTTGTTATTTTAAATCTGATCTTAACACATTTTTCGACATCAGTGAGACACGCCTGACAATGATGTGGTTGCACAAATTTTCTCTTTACTGTTGAATTAGAAGCTTTTTGTGATTATGAAGATCATTGACTTCCACAGATCATATCTTGCTGTCAGGCTTTTTTTCCTTGTTTTTGAATATGGAAATAAAGCGGTGAGGAAGTATCTACTTCAAAGCCCCTTTTTTCCCCTCAAAAGGGAGTGTATGATTGTATTTCTTGGCTCTTGTATGCTTTGATACTTGGAACTGATGGCCTGTGTTTGCAATTTTGCACGATGGTTGTACATTTTGTAAAGTTTTACAACGTATGCTAATTAAAGAGGTTTTCCTTTGGCCTCATTTGGTTCTGCTTTGGCAAGCTGGACTGTTTCTTTTATTCATTTCTTGGTGTATACATATTCATTCATTGATTCATTCATTGATTCATTCATTCCTTTCCACCTTTCTGTCTGTAAGGGGACCCAAGGCGGCTCACACACAAACAAAACTACTACAATAACAAGTTCAAAAACAATGCAAAGCTATATGTTAAAAAGCAATTAAACATGAAGATGAAAAGCAATTTTAAAACATAAAAAACCCAACACATTTTAAAATAATCTAAATGTCCTAAATGGAAAGGTCCCCCACTGATGGCTTAAAAGCCTGCCTGACAAGGGAAGGTCTTTGTCTGAAGGACAAAAAGGGAAGGAGGCAATGCAGCTTCTTGGAGCAGAACATGCCAAAACCGGGGAGCAACCACTGAGAAGGCCCTCATTAATACGTAGTTTCCTCTGTCAAATAAATTTGAACGCTGGATTTGCCACAAAGGGATCTCTTCTGTTAACGGGAAAGGAAGAGGATAAATCTACTTTGGGATGCTCTTCTCACCATCTCCAGAAGGCAGATTTGAATGTCCTTTCCCTGTTGGGGAACCACCTCCCTCTAGGTGCAGAAGTAGCATCCTTTAAAATAACACTTGGCTCACACACCCCCTCCAGGTCATAGGAACAAGGGTAAGCACAGGAAGTTGAAGAAGATAAGAAGAGTAAACTTGGGCTCTGCTTTGAACAAGAAATGCAACTGAGTCCTGTAATATAAGCTTTAACCTTACCTAGGGTACAGAACACCTTCCTTCTTTCTTCCAAGACATCCTTGATATTTGGTCCTGCCTTCTAGACAGAAACGACAACAGGGCATGATATCATTTTGGGATGCTTTTCACCCCAGCAGGACAAAGATTTGCCTGGCTATCTGCCGCCGCTGCAATGCTGAGCTTTCTTCAAGTTCCTTAGACAGGTAAATTGGGGCTTGTCTAATCTGTGTATTCACAATAACCTTGCGGGTTGGTTGAAGTCTTCCTGGGAGTAACTAGACAACCTCCGCTGGGAGGGACCAAGTTGGCTTTATTCCACTTCCTCTCGCCATTGTTTCCAAGTGTACGATTGTGGTCTTAATGCTTGAGAAGATGTGCACTTACAGAGGAACTGTAACTTGTTGTTACAACCAGCAGTGTCTGTCACTTATCATTCTGTGTGTAGCGTAACTGGCAAATGGACCCAAAAGTTCTGTTTGTAAAGACGATGGCAATTCAGGAACAGATTCCATGTGGGCCAGAGATATTTGTGGGTCAAAGAGGGAAAAGACCGCAGAATTAAGACAGGTAAGAGTCACCAGTAAATAACTGGCAGCCTGGCCTATAGCAGAGCTTATCTTCCCTGTTGGCTTGGGTGCATCACCTGGAGAGGCTTCCCTCCTCCTTCCAGGCAATCTCTTGGCATAGGGTCAGTGTGGGGTGTGTGCATGGGAAAGGGAGAAAAGGGAGCGCTGGATGACGGCTAGATCAGAATCTCTGCCCTCTCTCTACAAAGTCATTTTCCTTTTGGCACTTGTATGGCGGATGAAAGTGGAGCAGCGTCAGTAATTTTCATGACACTGTGAAGAAGGAAGGCAGGCCAGTGTCTGTCTGTCTGCTGATGACCTATAAGGACTCCTCCACATGTCCTCCCCAAGGGAAATAATAAGAAAATGACACAAGAAGCTTGGAACAACAACTTTACTGAATTGCACATAAAAACAAATGAGAAAAGCAACGTAAATTAAACAATTTGCGATCCAACATGAAGCATGACCCAGCAAAACGGAAGCATGTTTGATTACAATGGAAGAAGTTTCTATATATGCTTAACTCTCCCAAGAAACTTAACGAGGTGTAAGTGTGCTTCTTTTGGCAGGATCATGCTAATATTAACCTTATTTCTACAAAAATCTAAAAACACCAAAAAAAAAACCCCCCACAAAAACGCAACCGAACACAAAGAAAATGTAAATGTTTTCTTTTTCAATGACCTGGTACTGTCTCTGCTGCATCTCGGCTAGGTTCCTTGCTGAACACAACTGTTCTTTTAAAATGTAAATGTTTTCTTTTTCATTGACCTGGTACCGTCTCTGCTGCATCTCGGCTAGGTTCCTTGCCTCCATCTCTGTCTGTACTGCTGGAACCATGTACTTTGTCAAGGGAGAATGCAAAAGAGAACACACAGAAGGGCTCTTCTGGCCAGATCTGGCCAACAGGGGAGTCGGGGTGACGAGGGCATTTATGACCAAGGCCGCCATGAGACCGTTTGCGTGCATTAGACGGTCACTGTGGGTGGAAAGGAGCAATACCAAAGGTCCACCATTGCTCAGCTCATTTGAAACTCTTGGGTCTTCATTTATTTTCTGGCACATACTGCTTGGGTTCTGCCTCAAAGATATGCCCTGTTAAAAGGTGAAAATCAACTTAGTTTTAGGTCCATCTGAAGTAAAAGCTCGTGTCCTGCCATCTGTGCTTTCTGGGGCACGTTGCAGGGTCGCAAAGCATGGCCAGAAAGAGGTGCTGGGAGGCCACCTCTGAGGACTTCACACCTGGAGAGCCTCCCACCTCGGAAGGACACCAGATCTTGGGTTCATCCGGGTGTTTACCTAAGGGGGAGATGCAGGCTGGTTCTCTCCGTTTTCTAATTCATCCACTTCACCTGCTGGCGATAGGTTCAGTGGGGAATCCAAAGGCGCTGGAGCAAGCTCTTCAATGAAGGGTCTCAGAGGTTCTGTGAGGGGCCCTTTAGTTTCCAAGACTGCTCCTAATTCTGCCAGCAGGCCAGCCACGAGAGGCTGTACAGCCTCTTTTCCACCAACGTCAGACATCCAATGTCCGTTTGAAAAGATGGAACTGCAGATCTCATCGGTCGCCGTGTGCCCTGATTTGGTTGCCTCTCCTCCCGAGGTGCAAACAGGGCTGTCGCTTTCTTCAGAAATCACTTCTATCTTGGGAGGAGAGCTTTGCTGGAAAAACAAAATACTGTAAAGTGCTTGAAAGGCTCAGGTTCATGTGGCATACCATAGAGCCGTAAATTTTGCCCAAACCTCGATTCTGAAAGTGGCATCGTCTGGGGAAATGTTTATAATGGGTGTTATTTGCACATGTGAATGGGCTGTGAACATCCCTATACTTGTGCATCCATGTGTGTGTGTTCCCGCAGAAAAAGAGATATGGCGGCCCGACCATACAGGCTTGTGGTGTGTTTTAAAGCGGACCTTACTCTGCTGGACCAGATGCATGCGGTTAACCTTTGGTATGCCACAACAAGCGCTGGGAAAATGTTTCTTTCCCCTGATGGTGGATGTAGACAAGCTAGTTCATGATGGTGGGGTAGGAACATGGACTAGCCCTCTCCAGGGCTATCAGGAACCCAGGATAACTCTTCTGAAGCATGCAAGATATGGAGAATATTGAGAAAGCCCATTTAAATCCATGCAACTATGGGGAGACCCCCTTGTCTAACATTAAAACCCTCAAAAGGCCCTGACTAAATTGTACGTGCAGAGAGAGAAAGAGAGAGAGAATTCTATTAGGCAAAGTTCTAAATTCACTATCAAAACAAAGTATTAGGAATGCAAACTTTTCTGAAAACAATGTAGAGCAATTCACCTTTCCAGTAAAGATCTCCTCTCCTGCTGAATCATCTATATCTTCCAAATCGGGTAGTTCCTAAAAAGTAAATGTTACTGGATTTAAAAAATGGCTTTTAAAAATTAAAAAGAGGAAGCGATCTTTGAAGCTTTTCCCAAAGTACTTAGTTACTGTATATTTGCAGTTCCGAGGACCCAAAAGCAGTTAGATACTATTATCAATGGCATTTTAAAGTGAATTTTTGATTTTCACATTTCTCAAAAGTAGTGTTAATGGTTATTCCAAAAAAAATGTAGCAGTGAGAAGCCACGGAGGAGTGGTGCAAACCACAGTTTCCTCCCGTCTGCTTCCCACTTCCTCCCTCTAACCCTCCCAGTAGGGCAGAAGCCAGCACCCAGATCAGGCGATATTCTTTTCCCACACCTCCGTGGGTATAAAAATAGCTAACACAGTAGTTACTGCAAAAGCAGTGAGACCAGCCTTTGTCAATGTTACACTGATCATGTACAGTAATTGCATCAATACTGTACCTTTACTCCTTGAAAAGTGATTTGTAACTAGTTGCTTCTAAATCTCCAAATAAAAGCCAATGCTAGGATGCTTAACCCTTCACTACCCAGTCTTCCACTCCTCAGGGGCTACGTACATCAAGGAAAAGCCTTTCTGGTATGTCCAGTTTAATATCTTCAATCTGTGCAGGATCGGTGAGTTCTGTAACCAATGGTCCTGGTGTAGCCACCTTGCCTTCTGGTAGTTCTGAAGAAGACACAAAAGGCTTAATGGTTGTTGTGGGTTTTTCGACCATTGGCGGAAGAGGTGTGGGAAGGCGTTACCTTCTTCAGCCGGTGTGGTGCTGGAAGATGCGTTGGGACTTGTTTCTCGAGCTTCCTGCTGGCAGACCCCCAGGCAAGCACTCTCTGGCCTCTCCGGCCCATTTCCTGAGTTTGCTGTTGTGGCCAGAACTTCTTCGTGGGCATCCAGGCTTTCCTTCACAAACTTCTCAATCTTCTGCTTTGTTTCTAACCTTTCCGCTGGACCTGGAAATTCTCCCGTGCTGTCTGCCGTGCTGATGTTGCTTGAAGTGGCTTCTAGAACAGGCCAATGGCCAAAAGGGAAAGGGGGAAAAAGAGAGCACCTAAAAGTAGTTTCAATTCTTGTCCTCACGTTAAACAATACTATTCCATTAAAAGAAAAACTCACAAAACAGGGTGGCCTCGGTTCTCTCGCTCTGTGCTCTCAGTCTGGGAAAGCTCTTTAGAGGATGAACTCCTCCTGGCTTCTCCAGTCTTAACAAAGCAGCTCGCCGGACTGCCTTTTGGGGTCCAAAGCAACTTCCCCCCTTTTTTCCTTTTGCACCAAGTCATCTGATAATCGGGATGCAGTAGGTACAAGAGGCAGGCAGCAAAAAACACAAGCAGCTTGGAGAGACAGAGTAGTTTTCGGAATATTAGAGAGGATATGACGTCACTGCCCTTGGTGGGCCACCCAAAGACATGTCGGCTCTTGAGGCAGAAGAAAGGCATTGCCTCCTCTGTATATCTAACCGTGGCTGTCCCAGGACGCAGTCCATCATGCGCACAACGAAGGAGGAGGCACCACCACAGGAAATCAATACTAGAGTTCATTTGTGCAAAATGTCCCCAGAAATGGTGCCCTATGGGTCACATCTGAGTAGCTCCCAAACTGCGGGTCTTGATGCTTCCCCCACCACCAGGTCCTTCACCTGAGCCCTGCCAGATGAGACCAACCTCTTACCCACTTCAGCAACCTGTTCCCCAAGTGGCCAACCAGAGGTCGCTGAGAAGCCCCCAGGAAGGACGAAAGCATTCTTTCCCTCCTGTCCCCCTGCCCCCCAAATTGGTACTTGAACCTGCATCATCCCCAACAATAAGGCAAGCGCAATTGTGTCTAATCCCCTTTTAAGGCTGTTCAAGTCAGCAGCCCTTCCCTCCCCTGGCGGTGGTTTAGTTTTCTTGGGCACTGGGTGGGAAAGCGCTCCTTCCTCTCTGTTCTGAATCTCCCACCCACCCATTTATCTTCACTTGCCCAAAGGACCGACTTTGCCTTTCTCTCAGGTTGCCCAGCACATGCGTCAGGCTTTTCCACAACAGCCCCTGTGCCCAGAAGGACAAGGCAAAAGGGCAGCGGGCAACCCCCCCAGTACCTTCTGGTGGGCCAGGGGCTGTCCCTCCCCTCTCTGCCACCTCCCGCTGTCGTCTCTTCTCCTTGGCCTTTTCACGGATGGCTGCGAGGGCATCCAGGCTGTCTTGGATCTTCCTCCTCTCTCGGCTCTCCCACATTTCCTGCTCTTTTTTTTCCGCTTCACGGCCGCCGGCCGCCCACGCCTCTGCACAGGCTCTAAGGAGGAGAAGAAGGTGGATGCCTCTCAGACACTCTGAAGGGGCACCACCCACGGCCCCGGGATTTATACCTACAGAGACAATTCAATCCGACCTTGGGCTGCGAGAATGGTCTGCGGGGGCGCTGAGCAGCCATGGTTTGGCATCTCTGGGGCAGGTGGCACCATCCAGTTGCATTTGCAAGAGAAGTGCTACAGGTGTGAACAGTGGCGCCATGCACACAAGATAAAGTTGCCACCACTGCCGCCGCCACCACCAAATAATGTTTGAGAATATGCTACTTTTGTGGAAGTCCACTTAATACCACCACTTGGGTCTAACCACAAGCTCACTCTACGGAAGTGACTGCTTGAATGCTAATGTAAATACATATGAGCCCACCCTATTTGTTCAGTATCCGGATCGCAGGGCTTCACTGTCTGGCCATCTTTGTTTTTAAAAAAACTTGCAACAGTTCACTAAGGTTAGCTGTTAATATCTGTGATGCATATATATGAGATATGGGAAAGGTAAGATAAACGTTCACTCGGATTGCCCAAGAAATGGCAACGTCATCTCTGCATTACCTGTCCTTTGGGAAAACTGGCCTGTCATCCAGATAGGTCAGGTGCTTCAACCGGATTGTAAGTGTCCTTCGATAATAAGCTATTTTTTTAACGACTTCATTTCCCATTAAGTTCAGCACACGCTGCCAAAGAAAGAGAAACGGGTTTAATGCAAAGTGTAGAAAACAGGAGGACTCCCGGCATGGCATATGGATCCAATTCAGACTGAAAGGTATTTGGATAAATTAAGCTTGTTTCTGCACCGATCAGGTAAGCAAACTGTCCATTCTGATTTCCCTCTGAGTGCCAGCATGGAATGAGCCACGCTGAAGAGTCCCCTTACAAATACTTGCCAAATGAAGATGACTGTGTTATAGGTCTTGCTCAACAAGAGTTAGAAAGGGTTGGAAGAAGTACACATTGCTCCTCTGATGGAAAGGTGAGTTCGTGCCGCCCCGCCCTGCCTAGTGTCAGTGCAGGTGTTTCTTTTCATTCCTTTCTTTGTCTCTCCCAACCCCATCTTCCCCCCATGATCCTAGCCAATCTGAACTCATGCAGGGAACAGAATGGTGCCACACTATCACTGCAGCTATGAAGTAACATCATAAACTGGCAGCATCCATAGATCCAGTTATGAAAGAGAGACAGAAGCCTCAGGATGCACAAAAATATATCTCTATTACAGTTTAAAACCTGCCCGACATGTTTTGGCCTGAATTATTATTATTATTATTATTTATTTTATTTATATCCCGCCTATCTAGTCACTTATTGAACAATCCACTGCATAAAGAGTAATGCTATAAATTTATGCAGAAGGTCAAAGGTAATTAGTTGTAGACATCTATCCTAACTCAAAATGTAGATACAAAAATGTACTGTATACAAAATCCTTAATTATTGAATATGTAACAAGCAAGAATGGCAAATATTTTAAACACTAGAAAGCAGATGAAAATATACAACTATATACAGTAGTTTGTTCCAATATAGCAAGGAGCATGATCAAGTCTGAAAACACATGATGGGAATCGTAGTATTAAGCCATACCATGGAGTCTTTCTCTGCCTCTCACAACTATACTACAATTTATGTTACATTCCCTGGCCTGTGGTTAGTTCGAAACCACAGACAGTCAAACACGTTGGTATCTTCACAGGCCTCGTTGGTTCCTTGACAGCAACAGCATTGTGAAAATTCTTCACCCACACCCAATGTGAACACTGTAGTATGTGCTGCCAGATTACCGTCTACCATCCCGGGAGAGCCGAAAACGCCGCCGCTGACCTCGCTCCCCAGTAATAAATAAGGTGACAGTGAAATAGGATCATTACATGTCCCAAAAACAGTGGCTAAGAGGACAATCCAAGGTTCACACCCAACTTACCAGGTCGGGCATTGTCTCCAGGATATCTAAAATATTGGGATCGTCCAGCTTGTTGTGAGAGAGGTCGAGAACACAAATACTTGGGCACTCCTGTAAGTGCTGTATGTCTTCAACGGTCTGTAACATATTGTGAGCCATCTGCAGGGTGTGGAGGACTTTCAAGCAAGCTGTTGGAGAATAGCAGGGATTAAAGACAAGTAAATTCAGACCACCTCTTCTGGAAAATGACAAAGTTGTGCCTGGGCTGTAAGGAGCTTTCCGTTGTTGGCCCTGAAGTTACACTGGTGTCCAGAATATCTTTAGGTGTTGTACTCGTATGATAACAAAGGCAGTAAGACTAGATTAGTAAGCATTGTTAAGGCTCAGACAGGCTTGAGAATGGCTGGGAAGGAGCAAGAACCAGTTTTAAAAACCTGCTTGTGAATATTCAGTTCTAAAATGGAGAATATGAAATGGATACTGCAGGCATATTGGCAGTGGCACTCTTTAAAATTTAAATACATCATAGTGACTCTCCAAGAGCCATCAGCACAAATAAGTGCGATGAGCACAAGAGTGCACTACAGTATTGTGAGAGTAGAGAACCTTACATAGATTTTCAATGGTCTTGACATAATTGTTGCTGAGGTTGAGAGAATCCAGCTTTTGCAAGGGTTCGAGGTTCTCAATTTTATGAATTAAATTGATCTGCAAATAGAGACAACGCAGATCGGTTTGTGCTGATAGGTTCTCAATCTTTGTCAGGCCGTTGCATTCCAGCCACAAACACTTGAGTCCTGTATATTCTTCCAGATTCTCCACACGACCAAATCCTATGGGAAGAAAAAGGCAAGCTGAGTTTTGAGAGAAGCTTTCAGGATGACCTTTTTTAAAAAAATAGAGGTGATCTTATACTGTAAAAGAGGAGTGGAGATGTTGTTATAAGGGTGGTAAGTGGGTGGTAAGGACACCGAAGCACAGAGGAAGGCTGCCGTTGACACATTTCCTGCCCTTCCTCTGTCCTCAACCACTCACCCACTTTCTTCCCTGCTTGCTGGGATCAACAGAACCTGAATTATGTCCCAAGCCTCTGCATAGGCTGACCCTGAGCAGTTCCCTGCAACATTTCACCAAATTCCATTTCTGCTGGGGTTTTTTTAAAACTACACTTTGCAACAGTTACCTTTGTAGTGGAGATAGAGGGTGTCGTTCAAATGTGGGGTCATGTATAGCTTATGCTGTTTGCAGAGGTCCTTCAAAAGCTTTTTGGTCATTCTAAAACATGAACAAGAAGCGTCAGTCACTGTGACACCCCCCCCCACAAAATCCTACCCTTCTCAGTTTCAAAGCAGATGTTCTAGAATCCCCAATTCCCTCCAGAACTATTTAGAACTGGTTAGTGCCACTGGACCCCCTCCCCCAACTCTAGCTCTCCACTTTGGTTAACTATATTAATCTTAGTTAATTGTATAGCTTTGGTAGGCATGATGCAATTATCTGTGGCAAAAGAAGGAACTGGACATGATGGAAGAATGGGTTAAGGAAATGGCGGACTCGCTTCCAGTCTCTAGGCCATGATCTTTAACAGACTGGTAGCATCAGCTTGATAATCTTGTATGCTGAACTAAGGAACCCAGCAGAAAGGAATTTACCTTATTCCGTTTCCTTTTAAATCTGATTGCTCACAGGAGGAGTCACTTGCTGACTTTTGATCCCCATTTGTTTGTTGTTTGTTCTGTTGATCTATGTCATTCACAGTTTCACTTCCCCTCTGTGGTGCTTAAGAAATGCAAACATTTCAATCGGTCCGGATCCAACAAATTAAGTTCAACGACAGAAACTAAATTCAGAGTGGAATCCAGTGTGTAAACTGTTAAAATTCTATCTAGAATTCAGGGGGAGTAAATCTATGTCTTCCTGAGCATCTTGGAGAAAAATGAAATCAATAAAAAAACATTGCTCGATACCTCCCCCTAAAAGCCCTGCTCTTATAGCATAAAGGTCTTGCCCCTTTGCTTTTGTGAATTACATAAATGAATGGCTTTTACAGAAATACTCAGAGACTCGACTGAGCAACACCCTCACCCTCAAGGAAACATCAATGTGACCAGGTTGTTGAGAGCTATCCATCCAACAGTTATTCATATACCAACCTGGCTCCCCATTGCTGCTGTCATTCCCAAGCATGTCCAACATACTTGTGCTTCTTGGTTAATTACTTGTTCCTTCTGGGCAGTCCAGCATCTCCCTCTGGAATTTAGAGAGAAGAGAAATGGCTTAGTGGGCGTTGGGACAGCGGAGGTCTCTAAATCGTTGTTCGTTCAAGCCAAGGAAGTATTAAAAGGAGGGTGAGAACAAAGAAGGCCGATTAAGAGATCTGAAACAATAAATGGGTCTGAGCGGGATGCCCATCGTGGACGGAATTGCATGGCATGGTGGGATCTGCAAATTCACCTTCTCTCAAAGAATCAACACACCCTCACACTTTTTATCCAATGGAGGAGAACCCTGAGCTCTCCCTCCTCTCTAATAACTCTGTCATTGTTGTTTAGTCGTTTAGTCGTGTCCGACTCTTCGTGACCCCATGGACCAGAGCTCGCCAGGCCCGCCTGTCTTCCACGGCCTCCCGGAGTTGGGTCAAATTCATGTTGGTTGCTTCGCAGACACTGTCCAGCCATCTCATCCTCGGTCGTCCCCTTCTCCTCTTGCCCTCACACTTTGCCAACATCAGGGTCTTTTCCAGGGAGTCTTCTCTTCTCAGGATGTTGTTGTTGTTGTTTAGTCGTGTCCGACTCTTTGTGACCCCTCTCAGGATGTAGGAACATGTAAATCATCTTTATTCTGATTTTCAAATGCTCAATGCATTTAGGCACGGGGCCTTCTTCAGCTGAGGCTCCAGTAATGACTCTACCATCCCATAAAGTGGTGGGTCAACTCAAGAGAGGTTCAGCCAGGGATGTTTGAGGGGGGGAGGAATTGCATTGCCTAAAAACCTGGCTTTTTAAGGGGCCTTTGCGAAACCTGCTGGGATCCAGCTGGCCTTGGCAGCCTCCCAGGGAAGGGATGCCTTTGGAGGGAGCTGGGAAGCCTGCTGGATGGGGGGGCGGCCCACCCCTGGAGAGATGGGGATCTGATCCTCGGTCCCTCCTCCTGGCTCTTCCCAGGGAAGGGATGCCTTCGGAGGGAGCTGGGAAGCCCGCAGGATGGGGGGCCGGCCCACCCCTGGAGAGATGGGGATCTGAGGCAGGGGATCTTCCTCCTGCGTGAACAAACTAGCCCTGTTCAAGGGGGGGAGATCGGACCAAACCCCCCCACACAAACACACACAAAGGCGCCCCTCAGACGGCCTTCGCTCTCGGCTCCAACGGCTCCTCTCCAACGGCGTCCCTTCGTTACCATGGCGACGGGCCGGCTGCCGCCTGCGCACGCGCGAGAGCGTCGGCCGGAAAGCTTCCGGCTCGGAGGCGTCACGTGGTACTTCGCCCTGGATTCCTGCGCCTGCCCCGGTTGCTCCGTGTCGGAGGGAAAACGCGGAGCGCGGATTCTACTCCCCCGGCTCGGGAGTCCCGTGACTCTCACGCCCTTTGGCTGAGCAGGGCGGTGTTTTAAAAGAAGTCTACCTTCCGGGTTTTCCCGAAGGCCAGCCCGAGGGAAGGGTTCGGGTTGTCTCTCTCTCTCTCTCTCTCTCTTTCCTGCGCCTGCCCCGGTTGCTCCGTGTCGGAGGGAAAACGCGGAGCGCGGATTCTACTCCCCCGGCTCGGGAGTCCCGTGACTCTCACGCCCTTTGGCTGAGCAGGGCGGTGTTTTAAAAGAAGTCTACCTTCCGGGTTTTCCCGAAGGCCAGCCCGAGGGAAGGGTTCGGGTTGTCTCTCTCTCTCTCTCTCTCTCTTCCCTTCCCTTCCGAGAAACAAAGAAAAGGATGCACGGAAAATTGCATTTGGGACTTGCCTTTGTTTCTGTTTTTGCTCCTGAAATCCTTTTCCCCCCCTTAATAATAGATGTGGTTGTCTTCTTTTATGAGGTTGCAATTTCGTGTCCTCTGTTTCCACCCCCAGGAGAGAGGCTCAGGCATGGGCTTGATTTAGAGGGGGGTGAAGGGGAAGTCCATGTTTATTTATTTATTTATTTATTTT